TGAATGTTTTCTCCTTAATTTCCCTCCAAATTCTCATCAATAAAAGAATGCCATAAATTTCAAAATTCTTTACATCAGCACAATAGCATTGTGACAACATTTTATGTCAGCACATTAAATAAACATTCATCTGGTTAATGAAGATTCAACTTTAAATGAGAATCAGCGTAAGTTTTTTGTGTGTCATTTTTGATGATGAGAAGTCCCTTTGCGTACAATTAAAAATTTCTGTCTTTGCCACGACATTGTTGGAACGAAAAGTTTTCTCATAAAATTATCTTCGTTCTACTTATTGTACATTCTCCGGTGGACGTATCTTGTTTTATTAATTTTCATTACAGCTGGATTTATAAATTTACATTGAAGGGCAAGTAGCATTGATGACAAAAGGGTCGGTTTTAGGGATAGTTTTCCATGGTCAATAAATAACTGAATGGTGAAACTTGATTGCATACTTTTTAATATCCGAGTAAGGAAGTGTCCGTGGGCAAGTGTACAGTTGGTAATCGTGTATATCCCGAATAGCACAACATTGGTTTTGCTGCCTAAGATTGTTTAACTTGTACTGAACGAATTTAAGATTCAGAAGAGTGAGGACCGAGGCCTGAGTAGGGTGACCATCTAATTTTTTATAAATACAGGACACAAAAGAAAATTTGAAAATTAACGGAAATTTTCGTGAAAAAAATACAGGACCTAGAACAAAATTTTCAAATTTATACAGGACAGGGTTTTGAAATACAGGACTGTCCGGTGTCAAACTACGCAGATGGTCACCCTTGGCCTGAGTCTTTCAACTTAGCTGTCTGTTGAGAAGAAGGAACAAAAAAATGAGGAGGGGGGAAGGGGGGGGGGGGGGGTGGGGGGGAGTTATTGAACACCTAAACACTTTTGCATGCACCAAATTCAGACAGACAAACTAAAAAAATTTAAACTTTCCACTCCCATCAAGATAAACTAGAACGTTTTCCTTTACAAATTTATTTTCATCTTTTTCTCTTCACTTCTTCCTTTTTCTTATTAAAAACTCACTTGAAAATAATTTCGTATATTTGTACGTACGTGACATCTTAGCTTGCGTATTTTGAAAAAACCATAAAGCGATGGTCGCTATCAGAATCGTATCGCAATATCACGTTCTAGAGGAATTTCTATACAATAAAATCAAAGTGGTAAAATTTCTAAAGCACGAAAACATCATCAAGTATTATCAGAGCATAAAGTCATTGCACAGGTGAAGGAATGAAGATTTAATGATAAAAGCAGACGAAAATTTGTAGTTGCACGTGAAATAATTTATTTTACTAAATTTGTACGCACATAACAGACTGTACATAATAATGCAAAAATGCTAGTTGTTTGACTTGGCATGGGAGAATCCCAAAGGAATGGGTATGCAGAATATTTGGTCAAATCATAATTTGAATATTTTTTTTTTGTCATTTGCTAGTCAATGCCCTGTTTGTGTGGTTAGGTTGTTAGACTTGGATGGAGTGACTCTCTCAACTTTGGACGTTATTTAGACAATACAAACATCTTTAACGCTTCTCCTCTGTTTTTAACCGTCACCCGACCTTTCGAAACATTTAAGCAATGGGTTGCGTACTTTATAACAATGGTCTATGGATAGGGTTACCATCTAATTTTCATGAAAATACAGGACATTTGGTAAATTTTTTCGAAAAAAACAGGACATAGAGTAAAATTTGAAAATTAACGGAAATTTTCGTGAAAAAAAATACGGGACCAAGAACAAAATTTAAAAATTTATACAGGACAGTCTTGAAAAATACAGGACTGTCCGTTGAAAAACTACGTAGATGGTCACCCTATCTATGGACGATTACCGTTCGATGACCGTCATCTTGCAAAAAATTGATAAAAGTATGTCTGCATATTCAATTTTTCTCGTCCTTTTTATGACCTTCATAAATCTTCATTCTTTTACTCTTATTTTCTATTTCTGTCTTGACCGTAGCATAGCAAGTTCAGTTACTGATGGGATGTTCGTCAGCTGGAGACGCATTTGAAGAATTTAAAGCATTTATAAATTATTTCTTGTATTAACGATGCTGATTTAATACTATTGATTAAGGGCATGACAAAAGACAGAGTAAGGATACATAAAAGGGCTGCTTAGTTTCCAAACAATCAAATCCTCATCATCAATTTAACATATTTCAACAATTTCTCTCTCTTTAATCCTCACTTTGCAAAACATCATCTAATCTAGTCTGATTAACAGAAATAAATTAACTAAAACTTCCACTAAATTTACTCATTCAAGAGCTTCAATTACAAATTGATAATAAAATATCAATAAATGAGGAAGCTCATGTTATTCCTCATTAACATTCATCATTCGAGAAAGTCAAAATATTCGTTCAATAATATCAGCAAGAATAGCAACAAAAAAATACGACAAAGAATGATAATGGAAAGGCATTCGTAATCGTTAATGGTCTTAATGTCGTATAGTTCCGTCATAAATCACTGCCTCCAATTGTTTGCTGCCACGCCAAGAAAAAAAATTGTTGAAGTTTATTCTCTTCTTCTTCTTTCCTCTTTTTTTTTCATGTTGATAACATTAAGCCATTTATTCATTCACTCGAATCGTTGTCTGTTTAGTGTGTTGACTAAGTTTGAATTGGATTTGTGTGGATAGATTTAGTTTTGACTGGACGCCGACTGAAGGGTGTCGAAAATTGTCGCAAAAGTTTCTATAAGCAGTTAAGTGCCTTGCTGGTCGAATAAGTAAGGCGCTTGGCTCAAATTTGGTATGGTAACTCGAAGGTCGTCGCTCCGAGTCCAGACATTTCCAAATTTGTTCTTTTTCAGAAGTTTAGATACTTCGACTGCTTAATGTACGAGATCAAGCCATAATTGGGCATTTTGGGCAACGTTGGATTGAGGAACGGATCAGGAACTTGAAGTGTAGCGGGAGAAATAGGAACGAGAGCTACAAGATTACCTTATAATGGAATATTGTCAGAACGGACCTGAAAAGTATCACGCCACGCCCACAGAAGATTGAAACGAGAGCCTGAATTCAATCGAAACCTAGATTTGAAGATTAGAAGCTTGATTCAACGTCACCCATAGTGATATGAAATGTATCGCTAATCAATGTAAAAAGTAAAAACATGTAGAAATACTAATTCTTCCGGACGCTAACGTCGACAAATAAATAATAATAATAATCAAGCCAAGTTTCAGCTCATATTTCGAACTTGGACCGGTCCCCGGTGTACTTTACACAGGAACGCCGACTTTAGATGTTTCTGCATCCAGTAGGATCCTGGGTATCCTATCTTTACTATGGAACTAATGCGATAAGTGAAAGGAGCTTGTTGTGCTATTTCAAATTGAAGTCTAGTTGAACTTTTTGATGAGGAACATGATGCTTAGGGTGTTAACTCAATAGTTGTTACGCTCCTACACAGAACCAGTCCATCGAATAGAGTCGCATCCATATGAACCTGATAGAACTTAACCCCAACAAACCCACATTAAAAATGCGCCTTAAAACCTCCAACTATAAATCCTCAAAAGCATCTAATTCCATTTCTCATTTCGTTTGTGCCTTGAGATTTCCTCATATGTCCTAAAAAACTGTGCATGTACATAAGTATATACTCACATCGAAACATTATGTGACATGCTTTATCCAAACTTGTATGTTATACATGAATGGTATTAATAACATAAAAATGTATGTAAGCATTTGATTTCATCAATCAAAAGGATATACACATTTGGCTGAAATGAATACATTAGTGCTGTATGATTATTTTTTGGAAAAATTTTCCATCATCGCATTATGGGGTTGTTGACAAGTGATGTATTTTAATGCAATCTTTTTGAAGCTTTTGATGACTATTCTATGAACACTTCTTCGATATATTGTAGCCATAGACCCCTTAAATAGCAGACGTCATTTATGAACGACCCGCACTGAGAGTTTGTTGCTGATGTAATATGGCAGAGATGATGTTTGTAAATGTAAGCATTAAACTTAATTTTAGCTTATGAACATGATGAAGTTTCACTGTTTATTAATCTCTCGAACCTCATTTTCATTTGATACTTACTCATTTTACTTTTCTTGAGTACTTAATAGAATCTTTTTTTTGTTTTTTTAACATCAATTATGACTTCCCTGAAGATGCAATTAAACTTAAAAATTTAATTTTTAAATTTCAATTAATTCGTTTTGCGATAATTTGATGAACTTGCCTGAGGAATGAAAGCTTCCACTCTAGCTACTGTTATTTTCAATTAATAATAAGTAAATATTCGGAAGGGATGTAACATAAGAATGACTTGTTCACTATTAAAACTTAAACAAACATTTATTGTGGCACAATACATTCTGTTCTATATTGAATCGTAGTGTCTCGAGCTCAAAAAGGCTGGGCCATCTCCATGCTTTTTTTGTGGCTATGCATCGATTTACAATCATAGCAAATAGTGTGCTTAGTTGATTACATATATGCTACATTATACATTTAAGGGTTTTTTGAAGACAACCTAAGTTCCAGTGATATATACCCAATGGCACAAGTCGGTTAATCGATTAATCGATTAATCGAAGCCGGTATGACTCTGGTTTGGTGCTAGTTTCGATTTAAATCTATCACCATGCCAGGGTACATCGGCTTGGTGCCGAATTTCTGATCGATTAACCGACATGTGTCATTCGGGATATCCAAGCGACAAAAAGTTTAAGTTGACGTGAAGGTGATACCTTGTTGAATCTCGCATGGCTGTCTTACGACTCGTGGCCACGTCAAGGCAATCATGCAAGTGCACCAAGTCATGATCCATTTGTGTCTTACCTCAAAAAAAACATACTCAACTTTTAAGCAATTCGGACAACTTCAGAACTATCTAATCATGATGTAGGATGTGATCTATGAAAAGACATTATAATATCCATCCAAATGAGCTATTTAAGGTAAATAAGGAGACAATGAATCATCCACTTCAACGCGACTAGTTTAATTTTCAACCGTTCTTTGTTGTCTTGGTACAACCTTACGAATTCGATATTTTTGGACACGTCGCATGCACTTCTTGATCACTCGTTTGTAAATTATAAGGAAATAATGTTTTGGTAACTCAAGCAGAAAGATAAAACACGCTGTAGACATTGCATAGTAGTACACTCGAAATACAGACAACAATTCCTTTATCCCAAGCATTGATGCATTTATTAGTGGTTCAGTTCCAGCTTTATTCATTAATAGGTTCCAATGCTGTTTAATTCCTGATTCATGTATTTTCAAAGACATTTCACATAGTTTTTCATAGAATGGACTTCGTCTGGTCAACAAAATATTTTCATAGTACGACAATAGTCTCTGATGAAATTGGTAGTAGACATCATATCCTTTAGTCCATTGGTCTATTTGAGTTTCGAGTAGTTTTGTTATCAAATCACATCCAACGATAAGAACATTATTTGGATTTATAGTCATAACATCTTGAAACTGCTTAATATAATTTGAACTATGCAGCCACGTCTGAAGAGGTTTCGTCCTTTCTATGATGTTCCTGTTCGCATCTGACACGTTCATTATTTGAAGAAATAAATTATCTCCATATAACTCATAATCCTTTGTCAGTAATTCTTGAATGTTTTTAATTTTCTGGGAACTACCAGGACTTGTTAAGATTGAAGTCATCATGCCTTGGTATAAATTGGCAAGAATAATCATCATGAAAATGAGAAACTGCAGCATAAGTCTTAAAATTGTTCGTCCCTTCCGAATGTTTATCGATTGCTGAATGAAAACTGAAAACACGTCATATATCAAGTAATGTCCAGGAACTATGTTTTCGTGTGATAACTTTCGAAATCCATGCCATACTAAAGCACCAAAAGTAACTGATAAAACCATCATGAACCACACAGCGGGACTTAGTGGATATAAAACGAATCGAAAGTATTTCTTATGAGCATATGGAATTGGAACTAGAGCACAATAACCATTTGTCTCATAAGTGTTGACTGTTTTAAGAAAATATTCCTTATAGAGAAGTCCAGAGTAGTATCCAAGATTCAGAACAATATCAATTTTTCCTTGTGTTATTTCATATTCAATTTCTTCAATTGACTTTATGTCTGATACATTTACCTGAACTTTAGCATTTTGTTTTTCAGCTATTACCTCTAAAAGCTTCATGGCCGTCATCGAATGTTTATCATCTACAATAGCCGATTCATTATCATTTTGATTAACTAGAACTGTGTATGGATATCCTTTCATGTCTAAGAGTTTATCATCAAATAGCACATCTATGTCAGTTGATACATCAATTGTGTCTGGAGCCTTATCATGACTCAGAATATTACCTTTGTACAGTGCAAAAATCTTCCCATCTCGAACATACGGAATGATGTAATTTAGTGTCTTTGAAACTTTTAAAAGTTCATTGGGAAATACAATTTCATTCATGTTCACGACATTTCCAAACGGGATGACAAGAACATTCGTTTGAGGTGTCCAAAAGCTAGAGTCAACACATCCTAGAAGCTGATTTGCGTAGTCATGCTATTTATGATAGAAAAAATAAATAACATGACAACCTCAGAAATTTTATAGTTTGGAGGCTGTTCACTTATTACGTAACGAGTTTATGGGGAGGGGGGTTCTGAGATTTTGTGACAGTTTCAACAAAAAACATTTTTCTTCGTACAAATTTTGTGACAAAATTGGGGGAGGTCTTAAAAGTCGTGTTTTTGCGTTAATTAATAAGCAGCAGACTCTTACGAGAGTTTTATCTCCAAAAATAAGGAATAAATGTTTATCCTTACTAAAGTTCCAAAGGTCCTCGAAATAATTATAAACATTGAAGTCTTCCGGGTGTTCTCAAATGTTTTTGAATAAATGTTAATACATTCTGGAACTAATATTGGATTTTCCTTTGGTATAGCCTTCATCACAATATGAAGTAGTGACGTGTCGTTGTCCAAGTTAATAATGCTTATATCTTTGATATCATGTTCATGTTTCTGATTCCAATCTGTGATGACTTCTTTGACCAATTTGTAGATTTCCTTGTGATAAGGATCAACAGCGACTGAGAAATTGTAGCAATCACCAAAGGATATTAAAATTCCCAAAATTATTGAATATCCAAGCAGAATTTTCATTTTAACTTAGAAAACTTGTAGCTTGTTCAGTCGGAGAATTTATGGAAAATAATAAAGCTTTGTTTGAACCTTAATTCAATATGTAGCTAATGTTTTAAATCAGTTTGTTGCCATAGTTTTAACGTTGAGTGCTGTAAAGCATTTGTTTGCTGATTCATAATCTTTTGGATTTTAATTTAATTTTTATTTCAAGTGCAAAGGTATTAAACTTCTACAAACGTTGCTTATTTATTGATTTTTATCTTTAATGAAAGGATCCATCCTAGAAACTATTATTTTCATTGGAAATATTCTGCCCGCGTACATCCAGGACATAAAACTCTTGGCTCGTACAATCCTCCGACAATTCTTGATGCAAACTTTTATACCTTTAAACTCTTTGCAATCTAGGTCCAACTTTTCGATTATAATACTTTACCACAAATTTGAGACATTTCTTGACCACTCGAAAATAAATCAAACGAAAACAATTTTTGAGAATCCGACTCCATAGAAGCTCAAGCAGAAATATCAAAAATGATATACACAATCCATGGAAAAATACCTGAAAAATAGGAATCATTTCTTTTAATTTAAGCATTGATGCTTCATTTTCATCATCCAAAGGCACACCATTATTCAGTTCCGCTTGCATATTCCAATACTGCTTGATTCCTGACTCATGAATTCTCAATGACAGTGTGCCTAGTTTTTCATAGAATGGACTGCGTCTGGTTAGCAAAATATGCTCATAGTACGAAAGTATTTTCTGATGAAATTGGTAATAGACATCATATCCTTTAGTCCATTCGTCTATTTGGGTCTCAAGAAGCTGATCTACTGTATCACATCCAACAATAAGAATATTATTTGGATCGACAGTCATAAGCTTTTGGAACTGCTTAATGTAATCTAAATTTTGGAGCCAAATTTTCAATGTGTTTGTCTTCTTAGCAGTATTCCAGATTGAATCAGACTCGTTCATAATTTGGAGCAATAGCTGATCACCATAGAACTCAAAATCCGTACTGATTAATTCTTGCATGCTTGTTAGTTCATTATACTTGCGTATATCCATTAAAATGGATGTTATGACACCTTGATACACATTTCCGAGAACAATCATCATGAATATGAAGATCTGCAGCATGAGCTTTACAACAAGTCGACCATTACGAATTTTAATCGACTGCTGTAAGAAAACCGATGCTAGGTCAATTATAAAATGTAGAAGTCCAGATAATTTACGGTCACATTTGCTTGTACTTAATTGCCAAACAGTTGCACCGATTGCAATGTACAGAAAAACTAAATACCAAACTTGACTGCTAAATGGCTTGACAATAAATCTCAACAGAATTTCATGAATCTTAACAATAGGAACTAGTGCACAATAACCATTAATTTCGTATGTATAAACAGTTTTAAGTTGATGAATACTGCTTAGTGTCCCAGAATGATAACCAATATTCAAAAACATATCAACCTTTCCCTTTACTATGTCCTGTCGAAAATCTTTTAAATTTGTGATGTTTGAGAATTTTGCATACAACATTGCATTTTGTTTCTTTGCAATTGTTATTAACATATCAATTTCCGGATGAATTGAACCCTTTTCAGTATAACCGACTGTCAACGTGTACGTATATCTCTCTAGGTCCTTGAGTTTGTCACCAAAATATTCGGTTGTGTTGTATGATGACTTAATTTTGAGAGGCTTTTTGTTTAATGTATCAGCAGAATACAGTTCCTCGATCTTGCCTTCTTTTGCGAAAGGAATGATAAAATTTAGCGATCTAAGGTTAATCAGGACATGTCTTGGGTAAGCAATTTCATTTGCATTTGTTATGTTTTCTGGAGGAATGATCAAAACATTCGTAAGAGGTGTCCAGAAGCCGGAGGAGATGCATCCATGAAGCCCAGTTACATAGTGTTCCTAATTAAAGAGGAAAATTAACTTTATTTTTAACTATTTGACAATTAATTAAAATTATGAAGCAGCGATTACCAAACTTGATGAAACCTTCGAAATAACAACAAATATCGAGCTTTCCTTAGTATTTGAAAAACTTGTATTATTTAAGCTCTTGCAATCTGGGAGCAATATTGGATTTTCCTTTGGTATAGCTTCCCTCACAATATTATAAAGTGACGTGTCGTTGTCCAAGTTTATGATGCTTATGTCGTTGATACCATTTTTATGTTTTTGATTCCAATCTTTGATGACATGTTTGACGAATTTGAAGATTTCCATGTGATAAGGATCAATCGCAATAGAGATATTGTAGCAGCTACTTAAGGACAATAAAAATCCCAAAATTATTGAATATCCAAGCAGTAATTTCATGTCGATTTCACAATATAACAGCTTTAAAATGAGTATATTTTTCAATAAAGCAGCAAATATGTTTGTATCACATATAAAATGTTTCTATAGTTATAACACAACGTCCTTATTATTTATTTTACCCTACTTGATATCATCTTTAATAGACATTTACCACAAAACCCATTAAAACTTATTGATACAGCTAAACGCTGATACTCAGGGGCGTAGCCAGGAATTTGAAGAGAGGGGACAAAAAAAGATTTCACATTTTATATTTTATTTGTCCCCCAAATCGCCCCCCTCCCTTTCTCCTCTGGTTACGCGCCTGGTGATACTTAAAAGTAGTAAATTATGTCCACATTAGCCATGGATTAATTAACATTTATTCCTAAAACACGACATTACACTTAATCCATTAAAAGTGTTGCAATTGCCAGTGGCTTAGCCAGCTTGAAGCATGACTGATTGTCTTGTGTCTTAAGCTTCCATGTCAAGAGCTTGTTTATAATCACATAGACATTAAAATTTTCTTTTGACACATAAAATTTCTAATATTTAAGGCAAGTATGGATAAATCGTCATATCTATCTCATCTCGTGTATTTTCAACCTTCCTTATCTGCTTTAACCTTGGATTAACTTTACGATTTCGATATTTGTGAACAGCACTCAAGCACTTCTTGATCCAACGCTGATAAACAAGTCTGAAGTAACTTTTAATATATTTGGTCCATAAAACCTCAATTAGGAAAGTATATCCAGCAATTAAAAGCCCATGGAAATGTAAGTGTAAGACTGGTTTAATTGCTTTTAGATTTAACATCGAGTCTTCATCACTCTCCAGTTTCTGAGACCTTTTTGAACTTTTTCTTAGCATTTTCCAATGTTGCTTGATTCCTGACTCCTGAATCCTCAATGATAATTCACTCAACTTCTCATAAAATGGAGTTCGACGTGTCAGTAAAATACTTTTGTAGTAAGTGAACTTCATTTCTGGGAATTCATAGTAAACATCACGTGCTTTAACATCATGATCAATATCAGTATTCAGAAGATCAGGAACTGTGTCGCATCTAACAATTAAGACATTTTTCGGCTTTGTAGTCATAGCTTCTTGAAATTTCCGATTGTAACTTGCTCCTGTTAATCCGTCGCCAATAGATTTGATCTTGTGGATATTATCTCTATATGTACATGAGCTATTTATTCTTTGCATAAACAGCACGTCAACAAATAATTCATATTCCTTATAAAAAAGCTCCTTAACACTTGAGAACTTATTATGATTGCGATAATCCATTAAGGCAGAAGTAATTGTGCCTTGATAAACATATCCGATGATCATCATCATGAAAACAAATGCTTGAATCATGACTTTGAGTCCAAATGGACCTTTTCGAGTGTTTACAGACTGTTGAAAGAAAGCAGAAATGATATCACCTGTAATGCAGCCTTTTATTTGTGTTCGATGTCTGGAGAGTTTCTTATACAAGTTCCAAATCAAAGCGGCTGTCAGAGTCGATAAAAATAAATACATCCACACTTCTCGTTTAAAAGGATGAACTGTCACTTGAAAGAAGTCCATAGAATCGTCAGCAATAGGCACCAATGCACAATATCCATTTACTTCAAAAGTATTTACTTTCTTGAGATGAATATTACTGTTGATTAATGTTGCGAAATTTTCAATATTTAGGAACATGTCAACCATCGCTCGTGCAATTTCTAGTCTAAAATTTTTAATTCTTGATATTTCCCGTAAACTTACATTTAATCGAGCATTTTGTGCCGTTGCAATTGTGTCCATAAGTTGAATTTCCGGTAATAACAATTTATCAGCTTTATTACCAATTGCAGTGTATGTGTAGCCTTGCATATCATTTAACTTATTGCTGAATAATTTACTAGTGTCATATGTGAAGCTCGTTATAGTGCAGCTCTTACTCAATATGTCACCTTTGTAAATGCTTGTGATTTTACCATTTTCAAAATTAGGAATGATGAAATTCAGCGTTCTTGTTAAAGTCAAAATTCGACATGGATTTGCAATGTTTTGTGAGTTTATGCGACTTGACGATGGAACGAATATAACATTTGACTGCGTTGACCAAAATCCTGAATCTACACATCCAAAAAGCCCTTTTGTGTAATATTCCTGTGAATAAAAATAATTATTGACTTTTACTGTCGATAATTTGGATATGAAAACTTACTCGATTAGCGACAATCCTCCCAATGATGATCATAATTGAGCTTGCTCTTATATTGAAGTTCATGTTCCGATCATGATCATTACAATCTGGAAAAAACAATGGAAATCCATGAGCAGCTCTTCTCACAACATGAAATAATGACGTGTCGTTGTCCAAATTGATGATGCTTATGTCGTTAATATCATGTTCATGTTTCCGATTCCAATCTGTGAATATTTGCTGGATAAATTTGTAGATTTTCTTGTGATAAGGATCAGTTGTGACAGAGAAATTATAGCAGTTGATGAAGGATATTAAAAATCCTAGGATTATTGCAAAACCAAACAGCAACTTCATCCTAAGTAATGTAAAAAGTGTGGCTTGATATGACTGCCAACTTATACGAAATGTGCATAATAACATCAGAAGTAATTGTATTTGAAGTCATAGCTTATTATTTGTATGCATTATGATGCAATCTACTAGAACTAATGAACATTAAAAATCAAATGGATTGTTCTGCTGAATGTTGAATCGGAGGTAAGAGCTTTGCTGGTCGAATAGATAAGGCGCTTGACTCAAATTTGGTGTGGTACCTCGAAGGTCGTCGGTTCGAATCCAGCCATTTTCAAATTTGTTTTTTCAGAAGTTTAGATACTTTGACTGCTTAATAAGCGAGATCAAGTCATAATTGAGCATTTGGGAAACATCGGATTAAGGAGCTGATTAAGATCTTGAAGTGAAACGTAAGAAATAGGAACGAAAGCTTCAAGTTTACTTTATGATGGAATATTGTCAGAACGGACCTGAAAAGTATTACGTCACGCTCACAGTAAATTGAAACGAGAGCCTGAATTTAATCGAAACCTAGATTTGAAGAAAGCATGATTCTACTACTAGAAAGCATGATTCTACATCACCAAAGTGATATGAAATGTATCACTAATCAATGTAAAAAGGAAACATGTGTAAATACAAATTCTTCCGGACGGTAACGTCGACAAATAAATAATAAAAAGAAAAAATCTAATTGTTGATAGGAATTCTTAATAATTTTCGAATGTTGTAATTCCTTTAATTTTTTCAAATTGTGAACACTCATTACAAAGGCTTTTTATGCCGTTTTAAATGCCAGAGATGTGCTGTGCATTTAAATCGGCTTTTTCCTTTGACAAAAGTACAATAATAAATAATAATAATAATAATAATAATAATAATGTGCAAGATATACACTATTAATATGATGCATACTGTCATAAAAACTGAAATTTTCGTATAAAAGTTTTGTTGCAATAATTGATCATTATTAGAGCTATTAAATTCAAAGCTGATTGGTCAACAAAACATATACAAGTATATGTATTGAATACAATCCGTAGAAATAATGTGTAAAATTCAAGCTAGAAAAATACTCAATATTTTTGAATTTATTAACATTGTTATTTTTTATAGATCATAAAATGTGAAAGCTTTAAAAACATTTGTGTTGCTTTAAATCAACACAAATGTTTTCTATTTAAAAGCTTTTTAATTTTGAAATTTTAAAAACTGTTAATTTAAATATCAAAAAAATTAGAAAGCTCAAAAAACATTTGATTTGTTTTCAAATCAATGCAAATGTTTTTAATCTACATTCAAGTATTGCCCAAGGAGGTGGTACTGATGAAATGATCAAAATTGATCAAAAATGATCAAAAATTATCAAAAATGATCAAAATTAATCAAAAATGATCAAAATTGATCAAAAATGATCAAATTGTAATCCTTCAGTTCCACACCCTTGGTATTGCCACACAACAGCTTTTAATTCATCTTATCAAACAGAAAATTCTAATAATGTTTTTGAAAAATGTCAATTTGAATTTGAATCAGGGAGGTTCAATTTATGTTCAAACAAGTTCAAAATATTGAAAATAAAAGGTATTTACATACAAAGAGCAAAGATGAAAGAATCAAAATTTTTGGGAAATAAAACACAAAAAATAAAAAGTTTAACTTCAAAAAATTTTCTCCACAGATTTTTGAAGCAGGAAAAATTCTTTAAGAGAAAGAAGTGAACTAAATACACTCATTAATACGGAATAAGAAGAGGAGAAATTTTTCGATTATAAATTATGTTGGATGGAAAATGAACAAACTTTTTCATTCCCCTCAAAAACATTATTTTTATTTCTTATCAATTTTTTTTTGTGGGAAAATTATTATTATTGAATAAGAAGCAGGGGCGTAGCCAGGGGGGGGCCATAGGGGGCCCGGGCCCCCCCCTACGAAAATCTGATAATTGTTTTATTAAGTATTTATAGAGAAGAACCAGTTAATGTAGAGGAAGTGACGAAAGAAATGTCAAAATGAGCACGGAAAATTAAATTTAATGTATGAATAATGAATTAAATATTTAAACTTATGAAGAATGAATATAGATTTAAGGATACAAAATAACGGTTTTTTCAATTTTCGAAGATGGGCCCCCCCCTTAAAAATTTTCTGGCTACGCCCCTGATAAGAAGGCATAAAGAATTTTTTCATCAAATTGGGTTAGGGTCATTCACTTATCACGAAAAATTTGACGATATTTTATGAATTTAAGAATAACTGTAGTTGGGTCTAAAAAGTAATTTTATAAGATTGAACAACTCGTTGTTTTTGTTAATTAAACCATGTTTGTCGTTCCTTAAAGTGTTGGCCCTGGAGTAGGCTTTTTCCAAAGAACTATTAAAACAAGTCATAAGGTGTATTAATTTATGATTCACCTGATATGAATGTCATATTAATTTCAACAAACTTAGCTTTTTAACAGTATAAAAGTAAGCAAAAATTTGTCATTTAATGCCAGTTTGGTTTTAAACATTCGTTTAGTGAGAAAGTCTTGAAGTTTTAAGTAATAAGTCTGAATTAGAGGTTTAAGTGTTAAAAAATCTAAGATCAACAATTCTATCTCAATTTTTATATTATTTACGTCATAAATAAATCCCGAATTTCTCAAATAGGTTGATCGATCAGAAATTTGGCACGAATCCGATAAGACTCTGGTATGGTGCTAGATTTAAATCAAAGCCAGCGTCATGCAGTTTGGTTCTGAATTTCTATTCGATTAACCGACTTGTGCTATTCGGGAATTAGTCTTAAATCTTGAACACTTTTAAGTTGAACATTTAATTCGAAAAATCCTCGATAAAATTTAAAACTCCAAAAAAAACTAATCTTCATCAAGTTCGTACCCAAAAAATATAAATTTTCTTCAGTGCTCCTCAAAAATTTCATTTTCATAAGAATCGCCTGATTTTAACCTTTTGATATTCTCTCAACACAGAGTATAAGTATGAAATGAAGAGATTTTTTTCAGTGTCGATTGGAGGAAGTCTCATAAGAGATGTTTTGAGAATATTCTTTTCATTATAAGCAATGAAAAAAAAGATTCTCTCGTCAAAGTTGTAAGGATAAATTCATAAGTGATGTCCTTAAAAAAATCTCCCCTATATGATTTCCTATTTTTGTGATATTAAAGTGAATAGGTTGGTAGCGTGTACCTAAATAAATTCAAATTCGCTTCCTCGTTTGTTTGAAAAAAAGGAATAACAGGAGGGGGGGGGGGGGGGGTTTGTTTAACAAATCATTTTTTAAAGAAATATCGTTATTTTTTCCATTCATGAAATTTCATTGTCTCCTTCCTCTTCTTCTAATTCCTGGCCACGTTGCTGAAGCTGATATTAAGACCCCCTCTTACTCCTTAAAAATCAGACGTCATTTATAATTCCCCCTCTAAATGTATTTAAAACAAGCTTTTATTTTGACGTTGTGGATATTTTTGATGGCAACAACAACAACAACAACAACAACAAAAACATTCTTTTAGAGCTAAAAAAAAGTTTCTTTAAAAAAAACTTAAACTTCTCAAGTGAGTGTCGCTGTCACGTAAATCGAATTCATATTGAGGTGGTGGCATCTGAAGGAAGAGGGAGAATAAGAATTTGTATTTGTCAGTAGACATTCTACTCGCTGTGTGTATCATCACAATTTTAAAAGAAATTGAAAAACTTTTTTTTTGCTTCTCTTGTCTTCTCATTCGTGAATTGGAATCAGCCGAAGGAAGATTGAAAAATCATGAGTTTGATCGTAAAAGTTTGTTTGATTTTTCTATTATGTTCGGTGGTGAACGGCAAGTTAACCGAGTATGTGAAATGGCAAAGTATAAATTACAAAAATTTACCATGTAAGTAGAAAAAAATTTTGCTGACTGGAGGGCAAAGGTAGACGACGGAAAGAGAGCAATCAAGTGAAAATATTGACAAATACTTGGAACTTTGAGCTTTCACTTTATGTCGATTTTTTGACATGATATTATTATTTATTCAATATTGAATTGAATGTCATGCGATGTTTGAACAAGAATGTCGAATGTCTCGGGTCAAAAACTTTTTTTTGTGTGGTATTAAAGAAGATTATTTGGGTGACGCTTGAAACCAGTGTTGATGCCTGGCACTTGATTTTAAACAGGTTGATCTAAGCGAATGCAATTTGAAATCAAAGGCACAAGCCTTTGCCTTTGTCAGAGACAATTTTTTTCGAATTTGACTTTGTTGCGCTTTTGTAAAGGCATGACTTTGCTAGATCAAAGGCAAAAACTGGTCAAAAACGAGAGCTCGAAGTCGACTCGTGATTTTCATCGATTTCATATGGCAGAGTCAACCCCGAGTCGACTCGACTCCTTACAAAATTTCATCGCCTTCGAGCTCTAGTATCAACACTGGCTAACACAGGTACCAAGAATGACTTCAAAAACAGGTACTAAGAATGACTTAGATTATTATTATCGCTTTGACAGCCAAGTTTTGGATTATTATTTTTAATTTGTCACATGCCACACTTTATGCTGATTAATGTGTCTGATTTTCGGCTTCAAGAGTTTGAAGCTGATAACAAAAATAAATAGTAAACAAACGTATTTAATTATGAGTCTTGTGATTCATGCGCATGCAAATATATACACTTATTTTTTAAATTGATGATAACCTCCTGACAAAATGCAGAATGTAAACATCTAAGAAGCATATAGGACAGTGTTGTCCAAAATGTGTGCCGTAGAATTTTTTTGAAACTGACACGAGCCGCATGTTGTGTGCGACTTTGGTCATGGCTTACCCCTTATGTGTGCCGTGGCTCAAAAACTTTGGACAACACATTCCTTTATTGCTTCACATTATTTAACATCAATGCCAATTGATTGACTTTTTTAATTTTTTGTTCCTAAGCTAGTATGGCAAATGTTTTGAAATATTTAGATAATCTGAAATTAATCCATTTTATTTGTATCATTTTAATAAATTCGGAAAATATCAATTCTATTTAAAAATTTAATACAGCCAGGAATTTGAAGAGGGGGGGGGGGGTGAGAATTTTTTTTGTATGGAAAAATTTAAGGGGGGGTATATTTGTGATTTTTTTCATAAAAATATAAAAACCCTAGCAAAATAAAGGAATTTCTGTTTACGTTGGGGGATTTGTATCCTTCTCCTCCCTCTGGCTACGCGCCTGGCAGTTGAGTTGAATTAAAATAATTAAAATAAATTCAAAGCGATTATTATTGTGAAAACCGCAATATCATCTTCAACAATTAGGTCAAATGCAATTCGATAACCTTCTGAATTTCTCACATGTCTCATCAATCAGACTTTTTTTATTGACATCAGAAAAACCCTATTTTGAAATTTAATATTATTTAATAAAATTATTAGAAATTCCATAAATTGAGGAAAAGCACAGCATTTGAGTTACATTGAGAAAAGAAACTTAAAAAAACATTCTACAAAAAAAATCTCAATGGAATTTTTTGAATGTTGAGACCCCCAAATAGCTATGCACTTTACTCAACAACACAAGCTAAAATTTTCTCTACCTTTATAAAATTAAATAAATAATAAAATGATATCAGCTGTTGGGTTTTTTTTTGTTTATTTTCAAACAAATTATTGACTTTTTGCTATAACAAGCCAGTTTCACTGTCAAACTCCAGATGTCTATTAATTTGAAAACCGGTTAGAGTCTCCACAACAAAGGAAGCATTACTACCAATAATATTCATAATTAAGTATTAATAACTTCGGTGTCAATGACAGCTTCTAAGGAACTTTTGTAGTGGTCAAAGAACCACAAACTTAATTACAGTCCCACACATATGTTGAGTGGTACATAAATAAATGATGTACGTGTTATTATTTTTTTTAAAAAAAAATACAGTGTAAAAAATAATTAAATTAATGTTTAAATGATGCTCTCAGCAACATATTAAATACCATCATTAAACTCTATCAGAATAACTGATTATTTACATGTCTTCTTTTTCTTATTTTATTCTCGTTTCATTTTAATATGCCGCTCACTCTTTCATTCACGCTCATGTGATAACACTTGCAAATGTTTATAAACAGACCCAGGAGACTCATCATTTTATAATCCATATGTGAACGTTCCCTTCGGTTTAGCTCATTATGGAAATAAGCTATTTGTAGCTATAGCAAGACGTAATCCAGGCATACCATCCTCATTAAATGTTGTTGAATTGACGGGAAGTCCACCGTACATTAATCCACCGTTAATAAGCTATCCAAATTGGAATATGAATATGTTGAATGTAAGCATATTTTATAAATCATTATTATTGTTTTTTTTGTGATTATTGCATGCGGCATTGTTCATAATAACTATAACAATAATCCAATTAAAATTTAAAATTAAATAAAAAAATCCTCTTTTGTTTCATAATTTTTAATGCATTTTGTAGCTCGGTAATCAACCAAATCCAGCGAAAATCGTTTCAGTTTATCGTCCTCGAGTTGATAGATGCGATAGGCTATGGTTTGTTGGTGAGTGTGAATTTTTTTTAAAAAAAGTTATTTGCAGTGCTTTTAATGTTGCATTGCGTAAAAGCTTATATTTGACTTTTGTTTCATATTTTTCGAATATTTTATTAAATATTTGTATTGCAGATACTGGAGTGTTGGAGTATCCGAGTGAGTATTTATTTTTATTTATATTAATAACCACCATTCTTCTCCACCCAGGGGCGTAGCCAGGAATTTGAAGAGGGGGGGGACAAAAATTTTTTTTGAATGGCAAAATTTAAGAGGGGGGGGGGGGGGTTATTTTTGTGATGTTTTTATAAAAACCCTAGCAAAATTAAGAAATTTCTGTTAACGTTAGGGGATTTGTCCCCCAAATCTCCCCCCCCCCCCCCCCCTGGCTACGCGCCTGTCTCCACCTCTTTTATTTGTCTTCAGACCATATGACTTCATAAACTTCACATGACACGAACCTACCAAAGACCACTTACCTCGAACCCAACCCTTGCTTACTTATTTACTTACTTCCTTGGCTGGGGCGCACGTTGGCCCATTGCCGCGTACAGAGATCGTCTAAAGATAGCTCTATCTTTCGAGACCTTCTGCCAGTTCGGGATATTAAGGACTTTAGCGGACCCAACCTTAACCTAACCCTTGAAATTCTTTTAGAATTCGGTCTTTCAGGTCTCTTTGGGTAAAGTAGCTAGTGAAAAATCATATTATCATGTGTAAGCAACATGAACTATGATTAAATTCTAGTTGACCTTTGAATGAGTAAGCCCTATCTGTCTGGAGATCTCCCTATTACTGCTGCATGTGTATACTAATGTAAAACAATTCAGGTTCGATAGGAATCGAACCCGTGACCTCAAAATAGGCGATCTCTGACAACTCTATCCGAGACCCCTGCCACTCGGCCACTGAGGTACTCATTTCACTTCAGCTATCCACTAATTATTAAAACCAGTTTCACAGTGAGCCCTATCTACTCTTGATATGCTCTTTGAGCCATATCCATAACCAATAACCTTTTGTCCAGTACAAATTACCATATTCAGGAGTAAACAAACAAAAGTATTCCAAAAATTTCTACAAATATGTATGTTTGCATACAAAGCATATAAAGCAATCTAAAAACTACCACAAAAATATTTTCATCGACATTTAATAAATTCCATTTCAATTTACATCCTTTTTTTCCCACTAAAATCATAACAGATAATCAAATAAATGTTCAACGACCATCAATTTGGGCAATTGATTTAAAAACCGACATCGTAATTGGACGATTTGATATTCCTGAAAACATCGTTCCAAATGGACGCGGATTAGCTTCAATTACAATCGATGATGATGATTGTGCAAATACATTTGCTTATATACCCGACTGGATGAATAATGCACTGCTAGTTTTTTCAGCACAACAAGGCAGGATTTGGAGATATAATCACAATTACTTCTTTTTTAATCCATTTGAAGGTAACTATGAGCTTGCATAGATATGAAAGGATTGATCAATTAATATTCCATAAAATTCTCATAGGTGATTTCGACGTTGATGGTAAATTGCTGCTACTTTATTCAGATAAAAACTTTTTTTTATATCCATTAACTTTTCGTGTAAATATTGATAGGACTGCAGTTTCAATGGAATGATGGGATATTTTCGGTTGCATTGTCGAAAACAAAGCCAAATGGATATAGAACAGCATTCTTCCATCCACTTGGTTCCTTTAGTGAATTTACTGTGTCGACTGAAATATTAAGGAATGAGACGCTCGCAACTCGCCGTACTCATGGGAAAGACTTTAAATTTGTTGGCCATCGTGGCACAAATACACAATCAGGATCGCATGCTGTTGACTTGAATACGAATGTAATGTTCATTGCTGAAATGCAAAATAATGCTGTTAGCTGTTGGAATATTAAAAAGGATTTGAAGAGAACAAACATGGATATTGTGGAACAAAATAATTCTACGCTCATTTATCCTGTGGATTTGACTGTAAGTAGCTAGACGTCGATTGTTTTAAATTATCAACGGTGTTAGTAGATATGACGCTATAGAGATTGAAATTTCATTACATTATTGAGTTTGGCTTCATGCAAAATACGTGTCGATTTTTTGTTCTTATTTTTTCATACTCGGATGCCTCCATTTTGTTTATCTAAGTTATATTGATGAAGGAACTTAAAAGCACCTTATCCGAATACTACAAGTCGGTCAATCTACCACAAGGCGTGGAAACTATCCCAAATATCCCATTTATCCCATATATCCCAAAAATATTCAAAATAATCACTGAGCCTGTATGCAGTAGAATTGAGATATCCCATCATATCCTGAAATTAAACGTCCAATACAGTAAGGATACGTTGGGATATCTCAATTCTACTGCATACAGGCTCAGGGATTATTTTGAATATTTTTGGGATATTTGGTATAGTTTCCACGCCTTAATCGACCAGTAATCCGATGTCAAACTGGATTTAAATCGAAGCCAGAGTCATAACGACTAGGTGCCGGATTTCTAATCGATTAACTGACTTGCGACATTCAGGTTAATCTGATTCATTTGGATAGAACCCAAGTGACTGTCTGGGGGTCTTAGCTGACGATTACACAGCTGCTCCTTATTTTAAAATCTAAGATTCTTTCCATTTCATTGCAGATTGACAGAGAATCATCATTATACGTCCTCTCAAATCGCTTACCACGCTTCATTTATGACCGCTACGACACAAACGCTTACAACTTTAATATTTGGCGTGAAAACATAAATGCTGCACTTTCCGGCACAACATGCTTAAAATAAATTATTATCTTCCATAGTAAGTTTAAGTTGTACCACGATGCTGCATCAATTACGTTCATATTAAATTCTCTTTCCACTTTAGAGCTCGATTTATATACTTTTTTTTGCACTGTATAAAAAAAAAGAAGAATAAATATTTTAGTTGTTGCAACAGCATTAAAAAGTGAAAAAAAAAGTTTTTCATCTCTCCGACGAGTAAAAATTGTTCAGTATTAAAAACTGTTATTAAAATTCTACTATGATCCTTTAATAAAACAAATTAAACAATAAAACTCAGACAGACGACTTGAAATTGCTATGCTATTCTCCATAAAGCTCTTTTTTACCCATTTGAGGAGAGAAAAAAAAATGCGGCAACGAGGAGTACATAGTTGTGTGAGCACACACAAGTTGGAACTATGGGAGGCATTATTTAGTGGTGCACATTAAGAACATACGTATGTGGATATAAAAATTATTATTTTGCTGCAATAACGAGCGCGATGAAAATTAAATAGGAATGAAAAGCTTCAATTTTGACCCGCATTTTTGAAAATTATGGTTGAAAAAATTAAATTTTAAGATTTTTTTTGATCGTGTGCTTTTTAATCCTTTGAAAAAGAATTGACATGTTCATTTTTTTCTATCATATTTTGAATTTTCAGTAGTCTTTCTTGACGAACGGAGATTTATCTTCTTTCCATAGCTGCGTCTGGGTCCTCTCCTTTTCAATTGATTTTATATGGCAGAGTCAACCCCGAGTCGACTCAACCTCCATACAAAATTTCATCGACTTCAAGCTCTGCACTATATAAACTTTATTAATAAAGTTCTTAAGTCTGATTTTGTTGATGGAAAAAGAGCACGTGGACGTCCCAAGAACTCTTGGAAAGAAGCTGTTGACAGAGACAGAATTACACTTGGAATTGGTAATTGGCAAGCGGTAGCCTGAGATAGAGCCAGCTTTAGGTGCCATTGAACTATACGGCCAGATAAGTAAGTAAGTCCTTGAAATAAAAGTTGCCAGAAAAAGTTGATCAAAACAAAATGTGCCCAGAAACAGATAAATGCTTCACGAGAAGCAAACACAATTGTTCATTATTTCAATTCCTTTGAAATTTTTTTTTGTTTTTATCAAATTATTATGGTATGTACACTACCACAAGAACATAGCAGATCTGCTTTGAAAGTAAAACTCAGTTTAATATATATATTAAGATATTTCATTAGTTTTAATCAGTCAAAATTTGTTCATTCAATGAGCGAGAAGTGCCAAATAATGTGGGAAAAATTGTAAGTTCAAAATTCTTTTAAAAAATAATAACCATCCAACATAGTTTTGAATGCTTTAATTCTCATCAACTATTTCTTATTCATTTTAATTTTCAACATATTTTGAAGATGTCTTCTCTGAAGACTCATAGTAGAAAAGCAAGTTATCAGCAAAAACTTATATTTTAATTTAATTCACAGATTCTTGTTGACAGTCATCATATTGATGATATCTCCATCACAATCAGCTATTGTAGAATGTAATTGGAGCACTTGGAGTCCAGATGTGACATATTGTATGCCGTACAACATAACTCCACTCTCTCAACCAAATGAAGCCATTACAATTAACGGAAAGCCGTCTAATTATATCGATCCAAATGTGACAGCTTTATGGTTTTCCGATCAAGTTTTTAACTACATGCCATCAGGATTATTCATACTTTTTCCATCTTTAAGTTTAGTTAACTTTGAAAGATGTAAAATAACAAGTTTAACTACTGATTCTATCCCAAGTTGCGGAATGCTTAATTCGTTTGGAATTCGCGGAGAAACATTTCCTCATATTCCTGCGGGTTTATTTCAATCATGCAAAAGCATTACATTCTTGAACATGGCAAATAATAATATCACAACACTTGATGTGGATGCATTTAGAGGCTTAACAAACATAACTATGTTGGACTTATCTTACAACAAAATTGCTTGCGTTCCACCTGGATTGTTTCAGCATAATCCAATTCTAAGCTCTATTTACTTATACCAGAATCTAATTTCAGCTATTGATAGCAATCTTTTTGCAAACCTTCCGAATTTAAATGGAATTATGTTAGGCAATAATTTGATATCTTTTATTCCAAAAATGAATTTAACTGGTTCGAATAGTACATGGTTATCAATCGGTTTTGATTCAAATCCAATTTACGCGATTACACCAGATTTTTGTTCAATTTTTGAAGTCAGACCAGAAAATCACATTTATATTTACATTTTTAATACCTCATGTAATCCAAGTGATCCTAACAACATGATGTCTAGCATTTCTTCATCAACATGTCAAAATTATACAGCTCAGTTACAAAATTGTTACGCAAACTGGACATCATCAATGGCAAATGCTCCTGTATCTTGTGCAGTTCTACCACCAACCACTTTGGCTCCTCCAACAACAGCAGTCATACCAACACCATCACCAACACCAGGCTCCTGCCCATCTGATAAAATCTGCCGTTACTTCCTCGACCAATATAATCGTTACACATGCATCCTTGATGGAGTTGATTCAGTTCTGACATCAATCAGTGGAAATCATTTAATCACATTTTCTGATCCGAATGTTCGTCGTGTCATCTTCACCAACTCATTCCTCTCAAGAATTCCACCAATTCTATTCCAAAAGTTCCCAAGTCTTGAATATCTTACAGTCTCAAACTGCTCGATGAGTGCAATCAACACAAACACATTTTCAGCATGTGGAACTTTAAAATATTTTGATGCCAGCAGCAATTTCATTACAACAGTTGATGGAGCTTCTTTCAAGAGCTGTGCTGCATTGGAAGTGATTGACTTGACTGGAAATAATTTTGATATGATCAGTGGACAGCTTTTTGTCAATAATCCAATGTTAAAAGCTGTTTATATTAATCGACCACCTGCAATGGTCTTGGTTTGAGGATGCTCAGTGCATTTAAATTGTCGAATATTTTGAAAATTGTTATAAAAGTTTGTAAATCTGAATTTAATAAAATGAGAATAAAGAAATTTTTGTAAAATATTTTTGAGCTTTTAAGAATGAAATAATATTATTTTGAGTAGAAATTCATTACTGTCCATCACTATATTGAGTGTGTACCGAACTTTTTTGGTCGGCGACACAACTTGATGCTAAATCATGACCAAAATCGTACTCAGTTTATAAGATTTTCCGATTTTTTTGCAACACAATAGTGTGTCGTGGCACATAGTTTGGAATTCACTGCTATAATTTTTACTTTTGCCTTAATTTAACATCAATTTTTCTATATGGTCATCTTCTAGAACCTAGATTGTACCCTTAATAGTTTCAATTCATCCTTAAATTGTCTTAAAGTTGTAATCAAGTGCTATTGAACCTACAAAAATTTCTTCATTTTTCTCCTTATTTGAACAGTTGTCAAAACTAAAACCTTGAGTACGTGCGATTCAAAGCATAATCATGATAACATTTGTGTCAATAATTTTATTAAATTAAAAAAATGTTTAAAACTTGCTAAAATTATAATAACAGCATTTAAATATTCAATCAACTAAAGCTTCCAAACTTAATATTCGTTTATTTAATAATATGAATTGAATTCAAAATTTCAAGTTAAATTGAAGAAAATTTAAATTTTAAATTATCAAACAAAAAAAAACTTTACAATTCACCTTTTCATTTCAGACAATCGTCCATTACTCTAATTTGAATATGAAAATTGTTGCTTTCAACAAAATTAAATTTGAACTTTAATGTTTCTACAAATTTAAAAATTGCTCAGCTCCATAAGCTTTTAATGGAAATGCTTTTTAACAAAATTATTCCAACAACACTTCTCCTAACATTCTCTCACAAGGTGTTAAGTGAATATTTTTTTTTATCTCAACAAATATTCACATATGCATTATATATCCATTCAAGAAAATTGCTCTGAGCTATTTACATATCATAATCGTATTATTTTATATCTACTGAAATGTATTCTGATGAAATGAATTTTTTTTTATCTATTTCTAAAGTCAGGAATTAGCACATGACAGCCTGATGGGCATGAAAATTATTTTTTTGCTACTTCTGCGAAATTATCATTTTTTTTTTGTCATGCTGTGAATATTTTGTTTGTAGATACATTTTGTCATGCTGATAATATGAGAAAATGAATTCTTGGAAACATAAGTGTGAAGAAGATGGGGGAAATAACGCATGTAAATAGGACATATTATAACTTGATAAGTTTTTATTGCTGGAATGTCATGAGCATTTTTGAAATCCTTGTTAAATCGATAACTCTTTATAATGATGGAGAGATCGGTCTCTGGTGAGAATCGAACCCACGTCCTCACAAAAGATGGTTAGAGAGATCTTATCTGTTGTCTAACCACTCGTACCACAGATGCTTAGCTCTTCAACTGGGAGATTTGCCTATGTATGACTCGATACCCCAGATTCCAGAGGGCTGGAGGGTAGGAAAATAAGGGGACAGTTCATTTTATCAACAAAAAAAATCCTTTTATAATTAAAAATAAAATTTAAAAATCAATATTTATTCGTTACTTATCAAGGCGTGGAAACTATCCTAAATATCCCATTTATCCCATATATCCCAAAAATATTCAAAATAATCCCTGAGCCTGTATGCATTAGAATTGAGATATCCCATCATATCCTGAAATTACACGTCCTATACACTAAGGATACTTTGGGATAACTCAATTCTAATGAATACAGGCTCAGGGATTATTTTGAATATTTTTGGGATATTTGGGTAGTTTCAACGCCTTGTTACTTATGAACCACATCAGAAAACGAGATTTTAGACCTCACCCCTCCCCTCCCAATTGCTTGTCGTCAATAAATTGTCATTAACACCTTATTCTTAACATTACGCTGTCTATTTCCATCAGATCCCGCTCTCCAAATTACAGACGTCCTAAGCAAATTATCTTTATTCCCGAAAATTGTCGTTTAGTGCCAAAATTTCATCCAGAGATCCATAAATCTGGTTTATTGAAATGTATTGCCAATAAATGCTATCTTTAATTGCTTTAAAGCTCACATCAGCTCACACATTTACGCATTAAGGCACAAAACAAATACACTTGCCATTAAATATTAATTACAATTTAATTAACAGATATACCTTCCATTTGTTCGTGTGAAAGTGCTCGGGTCTCATTCATAAATTACAACACCAAACAGATTTTTTTTTGTCTAATCTGTAAATCTGTAAATTTTAAAACAGCTCCTTAATTACTCACAATTAATTAATTACAACTGCCTTATGATTTGACATAATTTATTAATGAGTCCTTTTCTCCACTTGAATGCTTTCTCTTTTGTATTCCCATACCGTGCTTGCCTGTGCTCTGCAGAGAGCATTTTGGATAAAAAAAATTTCTGTTGTTGCTCCTTCCCAGCCATATAAATCTGAATAATTAATGACGATTCAACAGTGAAAAAAAAAATACTTTTTTTTGTGTGTGCCTGACAGCAAATGAAATTATAATAAATATGGAATAAAAAGTCATTTGATAAACACTTTCATTGTTACTTAATGTACAGTACAATTTGAAAAAGCATTTTTGGCTTGATAAATTATAAACTTTTTAAGTAACTGGAATTAAAATAATTTCAACGTTTTTGTTATTATTTTTTTTCATAATTATTGCTTTTGTGTGTTAAAAATTAATGTTGCTTGAATATCCGTGACTTGATAATTATGGTAGTAATGGAAGAACATCCTGATTCTTCTTATGCTAAGCTTTGATTTAGCTCTGCTTATAATTTATTTATGTTACTAGGGATTTTTTAAAATTTTAATGAGAGATAAGAGGCTTTAATTTATGAATAATACTCCATAAACTATGATGATAGCTTATCGTGATGGTTGGATTTCTAGTCTCAATGGAGAGCTATCGTTTTGTTTGCATTCAGGGGCGTAGCCAGGATTTTTCAAGGGGGAGGGGCCCAAACAACTTTTTTATTGTTCTTGCTGCGATTTAAAGTTAACAAAAAATAATTTTTGTCCAAGGACCCCCCCCCCCCCCCCCACGGCTAGAGCAGAGAGCTTTCAGAACACTATAGTATAAGTAAAAATGTGAACAACATCAACCCCCTTTCAACCCTCCCTCCTTCCTCCCTCCCCCCTCTGCTAAGAATTCCAACTATGCAACAGCTCCAAAGTTATCCAGCCCGGCTTACCAAACAACAACAATCTCGTTGAATACTTTTACCTCACAAACATTTCTCACCAGGGGCGTAGCCAGGAATTTGAAGAGTGTGGGACAACATTTTTTTTTGCATGTAAACATTCAGGGGGGGGGGGGGATTTTTGTGATTTTTTCATAAAAACCCTAGCAAAATAAAGAAATTTCTATTTACGTGGGTTGTCCCCCAAATCCCCCCCCCCCCCCTGGCTACGTGCCTGTTCCTCATTTATTGTTGCCACCTGTTATAGACAGCAATATGCAATATTTTACGTCCAAAATTACATGATACTCTCATAAAAAGTTTTTCTGGTTTTTTTTTCGTTATAATTATTACATGACAGATGATTAACATGTTGCCTCATCAACAGTTTTCCACTTCATGATTGAGGTTATGATGATGCGAGTACAAGCTATCATAAATATTTCTTTAATTAAATTCAGTTCATAAATAAAGTTCTGAAAACGAATAATGAAGGATGAACATTTATATGCAAAATTAAAATTAATAAGTTCATTTCCTGCAAATATTAAATTTTTCTTCGCATAAAATAAAAATAAACATTAGCTTTAATTTTCACAATTTAATTTAGTTATAATCATTAATTTTCATTTTTATAACATTTCATTTCATAATCACTAAGCATTTTAATATAATACTTTTCGCATATTTTCTTATTTCCTAAAAGCTATTTTAATGTGTTTATCAAAGTTTTTTGTATTATGTGCGAAAGAGAAAACAAAAAATTTCTTCCACCCTGTTTCGTTTTTTGTTTTCGATTCATTCATTTCTTCTTATCTGTTCTTCGAAAAATTGCTTCTTCATTATTGAAACGAGCAAAGTGTATGAAGATGGGAACTATAAGGATGTGATTGTGGGGTGGACTTAAAGCGCATTTTGCTAGGTTGTAAATCATTTTTAAAAATTTAATGAGCTTCTCAACAGAGGATTTAAAGACAGCAGCGATTGAGTAAGGTCGAGACAATAGCTTTGGACATAGGCACTTTGAATTAAGAATAATAATAAAGAACCCAAAACTCGGCAAGAGGTTCCAAAAACTCCTTAGCATTAAAATTTATATTAGTCCTTATTTTAGACACCTTCATTTTTTTGTGCGGTCGTAAGCAACCTGAATAGCACAATTCGGTTAATAAAAGAGCTCGAAGTCCACTCGAGATTTTTATCGATTTTGTATGGTAGGGTCGACTTGACTCCATACAAAAATTCGTCGACTTCGAGCTCTGGTTAATAGAATAGCAATCCAGCACCAAACTGGTGTAATTCCGACATTGTGCTGAACTAAAATCGAATCAAGCTGAAGCTACGAAAGCTTAATGCTGGATTCCTACTCTTTTAACCGACTTCTGCTATTCTAGCTACAAAAAAGAGTGAATTTTGTATATTTCATAATCTTAAAAATCATCAAAGCATGAAAATGGACAAAATGAATCCAAACATCATAATTTCCAGCCACAATAACAACAGTATAAATATTTCGGAATGTTTAAGAGATGGAATTTTCAACAATTATTATTCAATGATAAGAAATTAATGCTTGAATACCAAAAACATAAGAAGAGAAAAACGGAAGAGGATGTTAGGGTGAAAGAATTTTGCTTCTTTCTTTTTACGGAAATGTAGCAATTACTGTGTACAACAATGGAATATAATAAATTTGTATAATTTCTTGACGCTCATTCATACAATATTATTTTTATGTTCAACAGCATAAGAGAGAATTAAATTAAAATATAATATACATTAAATGTCTACATCATATTTATATTACTTATATGAATTCATCATCAAAAAATAAAGGAATGTGTTAACAAAACTGTATGTGGTGGTAGTAAACAACAATCATCATGTCTACGGTGGTGTTATTGCAATAAATTTTATTGTTTTTAAGCGCTTTTATTTGGATGTTATTATTGATTTAATTTTTGTCCGTCTGTTTTGCTGGCTGTCATTCTAATAAGAAGGGTTCGTTCAGTTATAACATGCATCCAACCTATGCCACATTTGAGTTTTAGAACAATGAGACCCCTTCGCTTCTTAAAGTCATGTCAAGAGGGTTAGGGGGGGGGGGGTGATTTTTTGTATCGACGGAAAACTTAAAGCTTTGAATTTTTTTTTCAAAAAACCCTAGCAAATTGTAGAATCCCCCGAGGGGAGGTAGGGGGGAAGGAGTTCTCAAGCCTACACCCCTAATTCAAAACGTCCATAATGTTAATTTTTATTGCCAATCTGAAGCAAAAAATGAGAAATCTAAGAATTTTAACCCAGAAAAAATGCGCTTTAAAGCTCCATCCTCGCAGCTTTCCCTCCTTATTTCTCCTCATCTCATTTTTTATGTATGCTCGCGTACGTTATGTTTTTCCAATAAATAATGCTTGTTTTATACACACACTCACATGTGTGTACATCCATATGATACAGGATGAAAAAGGAGCTTTTTTCATTCACATTTCTCATTTATATTTTTTATTTTCTATAAATTGTTATATATACTTTTATACATTTATATTTATACACCGAAAGATGATGACTGTTGTTCAAAGAGTCATAAATTTTACGGGTAGGCGCGACGAAAAGAAGATGAAGAAAGGAAACAAAAATTGTCGGAAGAAGAATATAATAATGAAAAGGCAAAAAGTGTGAACTTTTCGCTCGTCATGTTGATGTGATAGCATGATGTTGTTCTGTTCTGTATGCTTGTTGATTGTGGTTAAATGTTTACGTTCTTTTTTCTTCCCGTGCACATCTTGTAAACTCAGTGTAAAGAATTATTTTTGTTTCTCTCCTTCCTTATTAAAATATCTTTAACGTCTATATAAGTTACATCCTGTAATGATGATAGAATAGGAAGATGAGATAAATATTTTATAGGATGAGTTTTTTTATTATTTGGATGACGGAGTAATGCAAGTTATTCATGAATAATGGAAGCTATGGCATTCTTTTGAGTGACTTTATTAAATGATAAATGGTTAGAGCTTTTAATCTAGATAACAATGTGCTATGCAAGTGTTAGTAAGTGGTTAGTACTGAATTTTGAATCTAGAAACAGTGTTAACCCCGAGCAGCACAAGTCGATTAATCGAGACGAAATCATAAGCTAAGACGAATCGGTGATGACTTGAGGGCAAATTTCTCGTCACACGAGCCCTGAAGTCGCCATGACGTAAGATTTCGTCTCGATTATCTGACTTGTGCTACTCGGGAACCTTTATATATTTACAAAAAATACCTAATTCAATCCGTATGACAGAAGTTGCTGTTCAAACTACTGAAAAATTAGCAATTCATAATAAAAACTATCAGCCAGCAATGACTGGACTTATAAGTTAAATTTTTTAATCTTTATTGAAGCCAATAAATTCAAGTTAGTTGATATTTTATTTTTCTATAATTTAATAGACTCTAAATTGGACTAAACTAAGTTTTTTAATGTTCTACACTAAATTGCAATATACACAAACAAGAACATAAAGAATATGAATGTATGAAGCTAAAGAATTGATAAGCTAGTGAAAAAACTTTTTCCGTTTACATCTTCATCACGCAAACTATCGTCATGATTCATTAACTTTTCCATTCATTCAGAATTTCAATTATTCTTTTTCCACTAAGCACTACATTAATTGTGCTTAAATTCTATGCTAATAAAGTAATAAACATATATCACTCCCAAATGGCACAAGTCTGTTGATCGATCAAAAATCCGGTATCAAGCTGGTGTGACTCTGGCATGGTGCTGGATTTAAATTGAAGCCATCACTTGTGATATTCGGGACTGTTTTACATGCAATATTCTAAGAATGAAGTTGTTTACAAATGACATTCAATTTTTAAGAACTTGGGATCATTGAGGCTGGTTTCTTGCTTTACTATAGAGTTGGGATTATCCAAGAACCTACGTCTATGACCAATAGCTATCCAATAAGGTAAACCTTAAAATACAACATTGCTATTCTTCAAGTTGTTGCACTTTAATGTGTACTGCAATCATTATCCAGTATACGTCATTCACAAACCACCCCATAATATTTTAATGAAACGAATTGAAAGCAAGAACAGATAATTGCTAAACAGTGCACTTGCATATCACTTACTTAATTATATGATTTAAACAAAGAAGCTATTAACAATAATTGTAGAACTTATCAAAAAATAATTACTTTGTAATCGTAAATGGTGGAATTGGATTAATACTGTTGTGTGCATTTGCGAATGTATTGTGAAGAGTATTTTTATCAGGTCCCATACTCGGATCTCTTCTTTCCTCGTCGTCTTCATCATCCTCTTCTTCCTCTTCGATAGCAATCGATCGAATAGATGGACGACGCCACGTTGGAACTAGATAATCGAAAAAAATCTTATTTTAAGACAAAAAAAATCTCATTTTCATAAATTTTGTAGTCAAACCTTCTGGCATATGTGTGCTCTTTGTTTTAGTCAGCAATTTAGTTCCGGTAATAGAAATCAAAATGGCACCAGTCGGAGCAGTAACCACAATACTCAATATACACAACATTAAAACAATTTGAGCATATGGAACATCTGGATCATCAGCACTGAGATGCTTCAATGCAATCGGACCGAGAGCAGCTTGGACTGTCGCCTTTGCCATCCATGATAATGAAACGAAAACCTTAGAGATTAAAAGATAAATTTGCATATAAGGCACATTGTTGTTGGATGTTATTGAGAATTTTATTTGTCTTACTCTCTCTTTCCAATTTAATCTATCACCAAACGAGATGAGAGTTGTGATGCAGATTCTTATCAATGCTCCAACAATGAGAATGACGAGACCATAACTGACGATATTTGGATCTAGTTCATTGATCTGTAAAGGAAATTGTTGCAATTGTTTATTTATTTTTATGATTTTTGCCAGACTTGCATCGTCAAAACAATAAAAATAATCTAATAATCACCTTTACAGTAGCACCAGTGATACCAAACAAAATTGGCTCAAAAATCATCCAGAAAATTTCGAATGCAGTTCCAACAGGACTGTCTTCCAACGTCCATCCTTGCTTAATCCAAAAGTATTGACTTGTAAAAGCAGCAAACACAACACCGAGTGGACCAGCTCCTTCATAATGAAGTAACTCACTGCCATAAACAGCAACAAGACCGCCACAAAGCAGCAATAATGTTCTGATTGGAACGACATAAGCATCTCCCTTTTCGGGAATTACTCTTGCAATCCATCCCCAAATTATACCAAAGCCGAGACCTCCAAATATGCACACAGGAGCTATAAAAAGGAAAATGCATTGTGTCATTAGGATCATTAAAATTTTATGGGATATTCCGTTGCTCTGTGAAATTTTACCTTGTGATATTTGGAAGGATAGTCCACCAGTTGCAAACATTAAGCTACTAATAATACCGAATAAGGCGACAGATATAGCATCACAAATGCCAGCAACAGCAACAATCAATGTTGGGATACCTTTCGCCACACCATAGCCTGCATAAATGTGTCGACATATTAAGTTTCGATCTTCTTATACAGAAATGTGAGTTTTTATTACCTTTCGTACGCAATCTAAAGAGACATGGCACAACAACAGCAGGTGATACAGCAGCAATAATAGCTCCGAATAGAAGACACCACATCCATGGCATATCGAAAAGGAAATGACAGAGGATGCCATTTACAGCAGCTTCAGCAATCCATGGTAAAATACTTAATTTTATTATTGTTGGCCACACTTTTTTAAATGCCTCGGGGTCCATTTCAAGACCGGCACGTGTGAGAATAATAACGAGAGCGAATTTTCGCAAATGTGATGTAACTTTGTCAATTCCATCAATATTAACTGCTCCGATATTTTGCATTATAATACCGGTAATCAGCATTCCAATCAATCTTGGCATAGTCGTTAATCCAAAAAGCCATCCTCCAAAATTTGCAGCTATCGTCAATACAATCAAACTAAACAGTTGTCCACCAGGTGCCGCTGACTTTCCAACAATTGCATAAAGCGTCGCATAGATTAAAAGTCCTGTAAAAATACAATTAAGAAATAGCATCAAGTAATTTGCGGTTATTAAATTAAGCAAGCTTGAATATTCTGCAATAGAAGTAATAGTGAAATATTTCAACTAAATTAACAAATAACTTTGCAGTCCCCACTGTGATAAATTGCTTGTGGATAGCACTCATCACTTGGTTGTTGGTTCATTTAACATTCATCATTCATTTTTGCACTCTCTTTTATAAAATGGTTTATATGCAAACTAGGAATGAGAAATGATAATGCATAGAACAATTGTGAAAGTTTGCTTGTGAATTGTTAAAGGATTGAGCGCTTTTGAGGATATTGTTGAGAGTTTGATTCAGGATTAGAGCTCAATGCAATGTTGCTAGGTTCAAGACTCATGAGAGCACTTTAAACCATGAATTACTAGGTATGAATCTCAAAAGACCTTGATTTCGATATGTGGATGTCAATAAGGTTGGTTAAATAGAGTTGATCTGTTGAATTCATAAGTACGGACGCAATATCCTAGAGCAAGGACATTAGCGCTTTGTTTAAAATGTTACAAAATTTTAGACCCCCCCCCCCACTCCCTCCCCCCTTCCCCTCTTAAAAGCTAACGCTATGATTGAACTGCACCTTAAGAATTTGAGAGTTCGCATGCCTCCACTTTTTATGCTGCCGACTTTTTTGGAGTTTTTGGTTGCCGCCTACGAAAGGCTTGTCTTATTCGTGAGACAAACTGCACAAGAAAAAAAATTCATAATCGAAACTTAATTTTTCATATCAAAACTAAAATTAAAGAGAACAAAAAAAGGAAACCAACAAAACGAATTATTTTTTCATGTTCACATACAATAGAGATGGATGTTGAAGAATTGCTGTATATGTGTAGTACCGCACGAAGAAAAACTTTTGGATCAAAATATTTTCATGAGCACTTTAAAAGTTAAATAGAGTTTAAAAATTATTCCATTTTTGCTGTCTGTATGTATGTTTAATTTGTTATGTAGTTTAAAATCATTATGAAACTTTTTCTTTACTTTATTTTGCATGTATTTGAATAAAAATGTGATATGTAAATAAATGTTTATAGTTTTCCATCATCCATGACGTCAGTTGCAAACAAATCCCTTGGAAGAGCTCACATAATTTTACTATCTTCTTCTGTCTGTATACATTTATATTTATCCTTACAACAGTTTAAAGTATTTTCATAATTTTTCATCAGAATCATTCATCTCTGACTTCTCATTGCTGTGGAGACAAATGTTATTCATTCATTGAATGTGCTCACTCGTCTACCATTTTTATTTTAAACTCATCAACTCCTCCAACCCGTCGCTTATTTTGCATCACTATCATTCCTTTTGTTTTCCCTACGCTTCCACTTCTCCATTTGATTACTGTGAATGCTTGCCATATAAAAAAAGACTAAATAATTTTAATGAATTTAAAATTGCTCTGAGTATAAATATGGAAATTCTTGTACATATTAAGCTTTCGTAAACTGAGAGAGATGTGGGCCGGGGAGTATATGAAAATTATATGTCATTTGCACTGCTGTGGATGATTTTTGATGTTTGATTTACTTCATTTCAGCTCAATTCAACTTATTTCAATTAATTTTAACTCAGTTTGATTCAGCTCAATTCAGTTCAATTCATTTCAATTCATTTCAATTCATTTCAATTCATTTCAATTCATTTCAATTCATTTCAATTCATTTCAATTCATTTCAATTCATTTCAATTCATTTCAATTCATTTCAATTCATTTCAATTCATTTCAATTCATTTCAATTCATTTCAATTGATTTCAATTCATTATAATTCATTTCAATTCATTTCAATTCAGTTAAATTCATTTCAATTCATTTCAATTCAGTTCAATTCAGCTCAATTCAGTTCAATTCAGTTCAATTCATTTCAATTCAGTTGAATTCAGTTGAATTCAGTTCAATTCAGTTGAATTCAGTTGAATTCAGTTCAATTCAGTTCAATTCATTTCAATTCATTTCAATTCATTTCAATTCATTTTAGCACAATTACATTGACAGTTGTATGATGGACAAATTATAAGATTTGCATCATAGTGTCGTTCAAATAATTGATATAGTGTCAAAATAGTGATCATAACCACAACTTAGACATGTAATACTCGGGCAACAGCAAATTGAGAAATACATGAAACAAAAATCGCACTGCAAATGCTATTTTTTCGTCTCAGAAAACTCTACTAAGCAGAAAATAGAGTGAATATTTATGTTTGCATATACATAAAGCAGAAGCTGATAAGAATGGAAGAAAGGCGAGAGAACAAGAAGTATAAATTATGTTGATAATTTGCTGTTATTTCAATATGTGAAAATTTAAATTATAAAGTAAATTCTTCAATTAACTTAAAATTTTATCAGTCTTAATTGACATTGCTATATTAGTTCATACATTCCAGCATTATGTTGCTGCATATATTTATTTATTTTAGTGTAGACGAAAAATTAATTTGATAAATTTTAATGAACATGTGAGATAATTTACAAACTAGCAATAAATTATTCTGGCGTACAATTTAACGTTTAATTTCTAGTTATGCGATGAGGAAGTTAAAATTTGCATAAAAAAACATTTAAATTTGTTTTTTATTTGAATTTTAAATTTCTGGATGCATGATTTTGACTTTAATTGGTGAAAATTAAAGATTTTAATGTTGTGGCTTATTTTGTTTGATTTTTGTGGTTGAGTTTAGGGAATTTAGCTTAAAAAATAGATGAGCGGCTTGGATAAAGGATTGATTGGACCCCCTTCAACCCCCCTGACCCGCTATGTCGTAGCCTTGTGAACCAATGTTAAGGTTATGTTGAATCCTAATTCACATGGTTAAAGCACGGTAGTCTACAGTAAACTCTTACAAAAAGCCTTGAACATCTCTAATTCATAACATCCCAAAATCCACCAAGAAAACAACCTCCAAAATCTCACGAACACAACTTTATTCTAAACATCATAAATCACGTCATCTTACGTTCATTTTGGACAAAATGAGCAAATTTGAAATCATCATTCACAACACGTTTATCGTTCACAAAATAATTCACTTTATATAAAGCACACAAAACATTATCCTAAAGATGCATGCTATGAAAAGTCTTCCAGCAACAACAGCAGTAAAGGAGAAAAGTTTTAACAAATGCTGTACTATTCTCTACATGACACAATGAATTAGAGAAGTTTAGAAGTCATACTAGCACAGCTAGTAATATTTTCTACATTATAGTGAAACAAATTTTTGCAGCTATAAAAGTAACCGCTTGATGTTTGTAAATGAAAAATTTTTCTTAAACCTTTTTCAAAGGTCGTCTCTGTATGAAAACTATAGCTTAATTTTGTTCTCTGCTCTTCTAGGAATATAGAATATTTTATAGCCTTTTTCTTCCGAGAAGCACAGACATTATTTGATGCAGAAGCTTATTGCGTGTTAAAAGACTTTTGGCGGGTTAATTCCTTTAGAAAAGTTTTTATAAAAGACTGTCTGGGGGAATTTTGAGGTGTAGCTTTTGTATAATTTCTAGTAAGGCATTGCAAATTGACGGTGAGACTGTTTTAAAATAGATTTAAGTATATGACGAATTGCCTTTGCAGAAAATGTCCTATAAGTCTGTCAATTCATTTCAACTCAGTTCATTTCAGTTCAATTCAGTTCAATTCAGTTCAACTCAGTTCAATTCAGTTCAACTCAGTTCAATTCAGTTCAGTTCCAATCAACTCATCTCAATTCATTTCAATTAAGTTCAATTCATTTCAACTCAGTTCATTTCAATTACTGGGGGTCCTCGATTTGAGTAGGTGTTTTGTTTCAGAAAAATCCTATTCAAATCGAATTATTTACTTTTTGTATGAAAAATGTCCGTTACAAAAAAAATTTAAATTTTCTTTTCATTAATTTTCGTTACTCAAATCGAATCTATTCAAATCGAATCTACTCAAATCGAGGACCCATAGTAATTATAACTCAGTTCAATTTATTTCAATTTAGTTCAACTCAGTTCAATTCAATTCAGTTCAACTCAGTTCAATTCAACTCAGTTTAATTCAATTCAGTTCAACTCAGCAACTTTAAGCAGTTAAGTGCCTTGCTGGTCGAATAGGTAAGGCGCTTGGCTCAAATTTGGTATGGTAACTCGAAGGTCGTCGGTTCGAATCCAGCCATTTCCAAATTTGTTCTTTTTCGGAAGTTTAGATACTTCGACTGCTTAATGTACGAGTCAAGCCATAATTGGGCATTTTGGGCAACGTTGGATTAAGGAACGGATCAGGAATTTGAAGTGTAGCGGGAGAAATAGGAACGAGAGCTACAAGATTACCTTATAATGGAATATTGTCAGAACGGACCTGAAATGTATCACGTCACGCCCACAGAAGATTGAAACGAGAGCCTTAGTTTATTTGAAACCTAGATTTGAAGATTAGAAGCTTGATTCTACGTCACCCATAGTGATATGAAATGTATCACTAATCAATGTAAAAAGTAAAAACATGTATAAATACTAATTCTTCCGGACGGTAACGTCGACAAATAAATAATAATAACTCAGTTCAATTCAACTCAGTTCAGCTCAATTAGATTCAATTCATTTCAACTCAGTTCAACTCATTTTAACTCTGTTCAATTCAATTCAGTTCAACTCAGTTCTATTTCAACCAAATGTCAACTCTATTCATTTCAATTCAGTTCAATAAAGTTTAACTAAGACTTAGCTTTGTACATATTAAACGATGTGCACCAATGTGCTTCTCGGGTTGTTTTTAATAAAAAAAGAGACAAAAACAAGAAAATATATATGCTCCAAAAATAAGTAACTAAAGAGAATTAAAAAATGTTTATAGTAAAGTAACAAAAAAGTATAAAAGAAAAGATTCATAAACCTATAAATCTCTGGGTGAATTTTTAAGGCCTTAAACTTTTGTTATATATTTTTTTGTGCATTAAGTAGTCTAAAAATAAAATAAAAAGTCTGTTTCCTATCTTTTCCTTCATTGTATCATCCAATCCATATTTTTTGTGTCCTTACAGTGAAATCATGTTGGCAAAAGTTAAAACAAGGGTCACACTCCAAAAAACACACATATATATACATTTTGTGGTAGTGTGACATGTTGTTGTTGTTGGCTTACCCAGAAAACTAGACACAAAAAGGGATTTCTTTTATCCATCATCATGTGCCTCATGTATGTACGATTTACATGTGAGTTTCATAAATGCTTATAATTAAAACTGAATAATCTGTGGTGGGAGGGTCCGTTGGGGGTGTTACAGTTGTTGAGAGTAAAAGAAAAATTACTTTTGGATGAGGAGTTGTTCATGTGTGACGTATAACATATATTATGAAGTACAGGATGATATGTTTTGAGCTTTTGATAGACATCAATTATGAAAAAGTCCAGTAGACAAGAAAAAATTATTTAATCAGAACAGGAAATCCTTCAAATTAGCATTTTTGGTAATTTGTATCACAATCGTATAATGTTTGAGATTTGTGTCATGCTATATCTCCTGACTTTCTAAGAAAAAATCCTTTTTGTTTAAGTTTCATCGAAAAGATAAAGGAAATGGTCCTAATTCCATTGTCAAATAATGATACTTTTGGACATACTCATGTTTGTTTATGTATGTTCGAAAAAAAGGAAGGGAAAAAGGAAAACCAAAAAATTGGGATACGATGACGGAATGTGTCGATATGGAAATTCATTTCCATTTCAATTCAGGACTATTTGCTTTTTTTCGCCTACATTATTGTTCTTGCTACATTTGCCTTTCCTCTCTTGACTTCCTTTTCACGTCCCTTTTTTTGTCTTCGTTTTTTTTTTCCTTATTTGCTTAACTTTAATGTTGGTATTGATGGTTATTGATACAAGTGAGAGGTACTTTTGGTTGACTATTATTTTGCTAGAACAGTGTTTCTCAAACTATTTTCTACGACACACTGCTGTGTCAACAACGTTTATGTTTATTAAGGAACTCATCGCAACAGACCAAATTGACACTGCTTTATCAGAGTAACGAACCCTTGCGCATTCTATAAATGACTTTATAAGTAGACTGTCCAAATGCGCACCTTTTTTCAACAAAGTTCTGGCTAAAATCCTTAACGTACCACTTTTTGAACATTAATTTCTTAGAAAATGTTGAACATTTGGGCTGTCCTACTTTTTCAGAGCATAAGTCGTGACATGTCTTGCTTTTTGACCAAAAATCGACAAAAACCAATGGACAGCCTATTTATAACAAAATCCTTCTTAAAAGCAACCTTTAATGAGGTCCTGCTGGAAATCCCTGCATGATTCTTGCTTTTGCTGTTGTACCAACTTCAACAGTGTGATTAAAATGCTAGAAAGCGGATTTTTACTAGAATTTGCTTACTCTTGACATCAATAATCCAAAAAGAAACTTTAAATCTCTAAATTCTGAATCATAAACTTAATATCCAACCTATTAAAGATTAACAAAACACAAATAACATAACATCCACCAGAATTCCCTCCCCTTGCACTATCGAACTAGCAATTCGATATAAAATATTGAACACACGAGAAAAATAAATGTGAGAAATAAGAAGCAGGATAAGAAAAGTATTACAAAAGTGGAACGAGAAGGAAAATTTTTCTCGCAATGCTCAGCAAAAAAAGGTCAAAATTCAATATATAAGATGGTGTGTTTATATATTGAGTGGAAAGAATAAGAAATTGTATTTTAATTTTCCTTATCGAATGTCACAACAAAAATAGTTTTCCTTCACAATATCCTCTCACATATGCACATGAAATATTCATATTAATGGATGTCACATGACATGTAATAGTAGATTAGTATAATAATATCATTAAATGTTGCAATTTGTGTATATTGACAGAAAAATGATGGATAATGGAGATGAAAACATTTCCCATTCTTCCACAAAACAGTAGCATTGAGGAAATGTGAGTTCCAGCAAATAGCATAGGAAATGAGAACCAAGAGAAATAAAATGTCTTTGCAATGATAAAATTGGGGAAAGGAAGAAGAAAACAAACTAAAATGCTTCTATTGGGAATAAGATCGAGAAGCTAGTGATGAACATTTGTAATCTGGGTTCTCGACAATTAATTGCTTACTTACTTTGCTGGACATACAGATCAACTGTGATCCATGACTTCCCTTAGTCGTCCCCTAAAACCAGCTCTATCGCTGGGTATCGTCTACCAATTGTCGATTCCAAAAGTAATACTGTCTCTATCAATAGCTTCTTTCCATTTGTCGACAACTCTTCACTGAAGTTTGGCCACTGACATTTAGCAACTGGTTCATTTGACCACCTATTCTATTGAATTCTTATTTAGATTCTAGAGGTTCAAGAGGCTAAGTTTTGTAGCTGAAAAGTTTCAAATTTTGTGGTCTAATGAATAATTATTCCAAAGGTTGCAGTTAAAGGGGCTAAAGGGTTAAGGGCTAAGGGCTTAAAAACTATCGCCAAATTAATAGTCGATTCCGAATTAATTTGGTCAATGACTTTGCTTCAACTAACCAGTAAGCATATTTAAAACAATAGAACCTTTAAAAAATAAAGCAAGTCTGTTCATGCAAAAAATCTCTTTTTATCTCTGAGAGCCATGACTTCCATGCCCCCCCTCAATGACACATTTCATTTCATCCAATATTCAAAAATTCATTTCATAGTCAAAGCAAAAATTCACAGTAGCCTCCATATATTGGAAACAGTTTATTATCTTCAAAGATAGACTATCAAACAGTTCATCTATAGAAAAGCTTCATTTTTATCCCCTCATACCTAGGGTTACCATCTAATTTTCATGAACATACAGGACTTTTGGTAAATTTTTTCGAAAAATACAGGACATAGAGTAAAATTCGAAAATTAACGGAAATTTTCGTGAAAAAAATACAGGACCTGGAACAAAGTTTTCAAATTTATACAGGACAGGGTTTTGAAATACAGGACTGTCCGTTGTAAAACTACGCAGATGGTCACCCTACTCATACCACATGCATGAGATTGTAAAGATCCTCTTGAAATACACACAAACGTCTCATCTCTATTTGCCTACTATATCATCATCTCTTTGTAATAATGAAACTTATGTGCTATAGACTAGATAACATTCTCATCACAAATGCCTCCTTTTTTTTCGACTGATTGTGGGAAAGAAACTATGAAAAATCCATTGAGAGAATGATAGATGACCATTGTAATGTTGTATTACATGTATACAGACAATTTGATAACTATCTTCTCATTTTATGCATCTTATGTCCATTCTCTTCCTTCGCACTTCTATACAATGTGATTTTGTTAAACATTTGTTAATTGAAGTTTGGTGTTTCAATGATATGATTAATAAGTTATCTAACATGATGCGATTCTGTAACATGAAGTGCTTTGTGAATGTTTAGATAAGGCAGAGTTGGAGATTGAAGGATGTAAGGTTTGAATTGTAGAAATAAGCAACTAGCGGTATAGTTGAACTCCTGGAAAGAGGATGTTGATAGAGACAGTATTGCATTTGGTATGGGTAATTGGCAGTCGGTAGCCAGCGATAGAGCCAGTTTTAGGAGGCATCTGAGGGAGACTATGAATCACAATTGATCTGTAAGGTCATCGAAGTAAGTAAATAAGATTAAGTTGATCCCTTCCCTTTGCTTCTAAAGCCTGGCTCTCTTAAAATTCAAATGAATTCATTTTCATTCATCACTCCTCACTTAAATCATCTTCAAGCACATACATAAAACCAACTCTATAACAGACACAAGTATCAAGAACATTTATCAATTTAGCGGTAGCTTAAACTCGCCCCATTATCGTAACATGTTAATGTTATAGATGAGCTATATGCTATTGGATACCATAAAATAAATGAATGTAAAAACCAGTTAACAAGACATCAAGATGTGTGTATTAAGGCTGTATATAAATGAATATATGTAACTGTAATACGTTATAAATTTAATCCTATACACGAGTTGCTCGTCCGCGGAAACTGTGCCAATGGAAATAATAATAAGAATAAGTGGCATTGAATTGAAGTGGTCTATAAACGAGTGTTAAGAAGAGGATGCTGCAAAAATAATATAAAATCATGGCAAAACATTACAACGGAGAGCTTTTTTTTTGTGTTCTTAAACATCAAAATGTTCTATCAACGTAGTTTACTATGTGATGCATTACGAAAGTAGCTAGAGACAAACAAGTAAAAAATATTTTCGAGGACTAAAGCGCATTTTGAAGATAATATTGATGATTGATTATTGAAGCTATAAAACTGAATCAGCGGCATCGAACTTTTTGAAAGGAGGTGGGAGTCGTGGTTCAATGAACAGAAAAATTTTGAAAAGTGACGAAATGTATCTTTGAGGGGGTTGACTCAAAGAGAGATTGAAGTCAATCTCAGATACCCCGTAAAACTGAAAATACCCATCCCTAATGCAAATGAACCGTTTCGATCTTAAACCAATACAAAATTGATTGACTGACAGATTATCAGACAAAATGCAAGCATCACTGACCAAATCTTTAATAGCCTGAGCCAGAAAAAGGCAAAAAAGAAGAAGTAAAAAAATCTTTCACGAAGATTTATCATTTTGCTCTCGCAATCTACGATAAAATTAATGATGTATATGATGATGTATTTGTTGCCTCAAAGTTACTTTAAGAATGAGAGCTGTTTAGACTTGTTATATTAGTCGTGTATGCAGAAAAAAAATGTTTTGTAATTTACTTTCTCTCATTCATAATTCTTGTTCTTTGACGCAGTTGCTTCCTTTTTTTTCGTGTGAGAAGCAGTGCCGTACCCGAATAGCACAAGTTGGTTAATTGAATAGTAATCCGGCATCCATTCGACAATACTCTTGGATCTAAATCTAGCACCATGCCAGAATCACACCGGCTTGGTGCTGGATTTCTGATCGATTAACCGACTTGTGACATTCGAGGTAAAATTAAATACCCGTAAAATTTTGAAGCGTGCTCTAGCTGTGGCTCAAAATTTTTATAGTGGTTTTGGATCTTCCTGGATACACCCCTAGTAAGAAGACATGACTTTTTCAATTTTGTTGAAAAATTAGCGAATTTTCTTATCTTTTTTTAAGAGTCTACAACTTATGGAAATTATTTCTTGCTACTTCTTTGAGATTGACTGAGATTATTTATTTAATTCACTAGAGTCTGAGTGAGAAATATGTTTTTTTTTATCAAGATTGATTTTTAACGCATTTTTGAAACTTGTTTCTAAAAGGTAGCTTAATATCTCACTTTGTCTGTTCGTTCGGGCGGAGAAAAACTTTTTAACTAGACATCGTAGAGAATTCTAGTTTGTTTTATTAGCTCAGGTTCATTGTTTTATTTTCGGGAAATGCATTTAAAAGTCTTGTAACAGTGTTTTTGTACTATAATTTTTGATTTTTATATTTCATATGAAAAAACACGTAATGGGAGCGTTTAGAAATTCGAAATTATTTCTACCGTTAAAATTTTTTGAATCTCAAAAAACCGTTAAATGATAAACTTTTTTCCATATGGAAATTCATTTCTACAAATTATTAATTATACTATAAATATTGTTTTTGAAGTGCAACTTTTAGCGGGAAAATTTCAAATTATTTATTGACCGTTAAATAATAAAGCTTTTTTTTTTCTTTATTATAAAATCAATGATCTTCTAATCTTCTAATGATCTGTAAATGAACGCAAAATAAATAGACAATCAAATGCTGATCGTTAACACAACAATGCGCTTAAGTCCCTCGATCAATAACACGAGGACTTCTGTAATTTTTTTTCTTCATTTTTACAAGGTTGTGTATAATTTAAGGTAAAAGGAATACAAGGTCTACTGCAGAGCTCGAATTCGATGAAATTTTGTATGGAGTCAAATCGAATCCGCCATACAAAATCGATGAAAATCTCGATTTGACTTCGAAGTCTGGTCTAATGACAACAGTTATTTAAACATACCATGAAATTGAGGTTCCCAAGGTTAATTTGTAATTTTCTATATGGGAAGGGGGGTATGTGGTAACTAATGGTGGTTCAATCCATACCAGCCAACGTCCCTAGTCAGCAAATTCAATTAACCTAGTCCAGAAACTACATTTTTCAGCAATATAACATAAAATAATTTTTTTTCATAAAACGATTTTACCCAAATTCAAAAAATTTTTTTTTCTCTTCATAATTTAATATAAGTCAATTGGAAATGGCCAGTAGTCAAGCTTTCAATTATTAAAAAAAAAGTTCAATTTTTAAAAGCAATTTTCTTTCACAAACGGCATAAAAAGAACTGACTCTCTAATATTTTTAAAAGCTGCAAAGTTTGAAAAGCAATATCCACCTATTTTATGCATAAAACAATATTTTTAACATGCACAATTTATTCTTTTCTCCGGTGCCAATGAATTTATTTTCCTCTCTCTACATTTTTTTTTTTGAGTTTCATAAATTTTCAAATGGCTAAAACCATTTATTTTCCGGACTTTTGTCTTTTTTTTTTGACTTTTTTTTTTATTTATTTTTTGCACTTAATTTTGCGGATGTCACACAAAATGATAAAGTTGGTCGGGGAGGATGAAAAAAAAAACAAAATTATGTACATAAAATAAAATGAAGTCTCATGTATCAGCCAAGCATATTTTCCTGCTTTGTTTTTGTCTCATTCGGTGAATCTCACTTTTTTTTTTTGTTTAGCACTCCAAGCGATATCATTATATCCATTAGGATTCAACGTGAAACTTGATGGAAATTAAAAATCGCTTTCACTGATGAGACAATAAAGCAGATTGTCAGTTTCACTGAGCCATGCCCACCCTAATAAATAAATCAAATTTATCGCAATTTTTTTTAAGTGGTCTTATTTAAAATTCCAAGGATGGAAATTAATTTGTTTGTCACATGAAATGTGGGTTTGTAGTAGTTTGAGTGTGGGTGCTGTAGGCAGTTTTCATTAGTTTATTCAGAGGTGAAGGATGTGTAGGTGTTGTCAATCCACAATTTAATTAAATTATATAGCAACACCAACAACCTTTATCATCAATTTAAATCCTATTTTCTGATGGCTGCATAAACTGAGCTACAAATTCACTAGAATCAAGCTTTAAAATATTTTTAAACTTCCCTAAAAGTCAGATGCTAATTATTACACATCCCAGCAATATGCCGCATGAATGTGTGCAAAAAAATTGATAAATGGACAAAAAACTGTCAAAATAAAAGCTAATAGAAGGAAATTACACAATTAATTTCAAAGATGTCATAATAAATAAAATAATAATCTTCGGTCAATGGACGACAAAGATTGCAACAAATAAGCAGCCACAAAAAGGGATGGAAAAATTTCAATTAAAATGTCTTTTTAAACACATTTAATGATGTTATTTTTATCCATTTATTGTTCTTATCCAACCCCAAACCCTGTCCATTCAACCTCAACACACAAAATACCCATAAATAATTTCTGTCAACGGTGGTGATTGGTATTATAGGTTTTTGTGCTTTCTATATTTTTTTTTTGCCCTCCAACAAAGTGTGGAAATTCATTGGCGTAACTTTTTTTTTTATCGTGTGTTTACTAACTCCACAGTGACATTGAACGCTGAGTGGAATGAGACATTTTATGTACAATATGTTTAATAAAAAAATTACCGACATCAGCAAAGTTCGATGTCCGCTGAAAAAATTGAAAAAAAAGTAGAAACAATGTCGCTCAGTCATGCTGTTTGAGTTTTATTAACAAGTATCATGCTGAATTCGCTTTAGGTCTATTATGGCAATGAATTTGATTTTGTGGTCACCGGTTTTATTGTTTGTGCAGGGGTGCACTTCCAAATTGATTTTTTTAAATTCATTTTTCAAATTCTTAAGCTTATTAAACCCTCAAAATTAAAGTCCCCTAAATACATCCCCTTGAATAAACGTTTAACTTTAATGCACACATCTTTGACTTCGTTTGGTTAGATTGAGAATGATTTCTTGAATATTAATGAGCATGAATATGCCATGACTGGATTTTGGCAATCAAATTGAATTTTAATCAGAGATTTTCATTGCGGGTGCAATGTTTTGGATTTTAATTAAACTTCTAGTGCTGAAGCTGATAGGATTTCAATAGAAAATTTAATTCAGTGTCATCAGGTGTCAATTGCAGTCTAGTGCTTCGTTCGATGTTTGAAATAAAAAATTAGAAATAAATCAATTTGTCTTCTTCATAGATGTTGTGTGATTTGTGACACACGATAAACAAAATTTCAGGTCAATGGATTTTTGAGGGAATCAAATGCTGTCAATTTTTTAATTAAATGCTGTCAAATTTGAGTTTATGTGGAGCAAAAGCTTTGCCAAGAGGTTTAAGGTTTTATAAGCATCAAAAGCTTTTGGCAAACAATAAATTACAAAACCACAGAATCAAAAAATCAAATAAAATACGCAAGCATCTTAGCTCCATCCTGAACCAAAATTTCTTGAAAAATCACCAACAATTTCCATTCTAACGGAGACAGACGACGAACATGGAATTAATGAAATCTAATGCTATTACCTAGCATCCTTGATGAAAGTACCGAACGTGTATGTGTAATGCCGACAGGTTACTTAATATTAGCCTAATTGGTCAATTCAGAGAATTGTAATCAACTCTTGTACAAAATTAATTTCATTCATTTTCTGAGTTTTTTTTTTTTGTAGACTAAAGCGTCATTGGCAATGAACTATGTTGATGAATTGAATTCATATTGAATGTTTATTTGTGTGGGGGATGATTTTATGGTTTCTGAAGGGTGAGCTGGTGGTAGGCTGTCCTACTGTTCTTTTTTGAAAGGGACAGTTCCGATTTTTTGAATAAAATCCCGCTTAAAATCCTTAATGTCCCGGTTTTTAAAACTATATCTTGGAAAATGCTTGAAAATTTGGTCTGTCACATTTTTTCAGAGCTGAAATCAGGACATGTCCCGCTTTTTGACCAAAAATCAGCAAAACAGAAGGTCAACCAAGCTGAAGGGAATATTCATTAATTAAAAATCCAGGGTATTTAGCTATGAGTTGACTTCTAGGGCTACCTTGAAGACCCTGCTTTAGAAATAAAAATAATTGATCTACATTCGCGAGTATCTACAAAATTGAACCAACAAACCAGCCTCAGACCCATAAGACGTTTTGGATTTGCCATATTTTTAATGAAAATTTTTGTTTTGCAGTGCCTCTAGCTGAACGGCTGGGCACTTCACACATTATTAATGAAAAATCTGAGTTCTCTTAATTTGGCAATCCAAAAAAAAATTATTCAAATTTTTCTCCAATATTTCCAGTACCCTTGGCACACCCATAAAACATAAAATTGATACACCACAGAACAGCTCCGCAATAAATCCCAAATCAATATCCTGTACGCTTCATTAATCGCGAGATGGCAGAATGAATTAGAAATGAAAATGAAAAAGGAATTAAAGTAAGTAATCTAAAAGATAAAATCAATACTTTTTTTCTCCCAAATTGTCGTTCGAACAGAGATTAAAGCTTGCTTGTTTGGCACAGAAAAAAGTGCTATAGTCATGATGTTATGAACGTACATGGTACGATAATGACTTTTCGACATTTTTCATTAATTATCTCATGAACCTTACTTACCTATCAACGTAATTGAAATAAGTCGTGCAAACTGACGATATGATGGACATAATGGATAGGGGCAAACTTTCTCCCATCCTTTTGGTTGCCATGATGGTGTAGAATCTACATTTAAGGAAAGAACATGATAAGACAATAAGACGAGAATGAGATTTATTCAGATTTATCACTTACATTGTACTCTACAGCGCATACACAATGCATAAATCCATGAGTGCTCAAGTTGGCTTTCCGGTTCAATCTTTTTCGGAATTTTATGCGAATGTCTCGAGTACAATGATTCCGTTGCTGATTGTTTTCTTTGCGGTCTTCGATGTGGTTGATGATGATGATCGCCATTGAGTTTATCTAAGTTTTATCATCGGTTGTGGATGGATTTTTTAATTTTATTTTTTTACAAAATTAGCACCAAGGAAGGAAGGAAGACAAAAAAAAACGTACAAAAAAATTCAATTAAATTCGAGAGCAAATTAATTGGATTTCGTTTCTACATCCATTCGTGGAATTAAGTGCAAAAAAAAGGAAGCTAGTTGAGAGGTAAAAAAAAATCAGGATGAATTCTTAATCTAACAGATTTAAGTGTAGATACGAATGGATGGAGATAAGCTATGGTAAAAAAAAGATGTAGCATACCATAATTTGCAGGTGTAGGTTGCTGTGTGATTGGCTCGTGAGCTTGCTGAAGTGCTTGTTGCTGTTGTTCAAATGTTAGAGGATTGTGCAATATGCTCTTCTTTCTCACCGGACTTGTATCTGAATGGGTTGATTGCTGGTTGTATGATAAAATGAAAATTGAGGAAACAAAGTGTTTAGTCATATCCGATAGAAGTTTAATTAATAAATTGAGAAGCTATGAGAAGATTCTGGAAGAAGTTCTAACTCTTATGGAATTGAATTGCTTTGATAGGTTTAGATTGAAATTAAATTGAGTTGATTGTTTGGAAGCATTGTCATTCTTGAAACCATGCGTTGAAGATTCATCTGATTCATAGTTTGCATGCACATAATTGGAGCAGTAAGCCTTAAGATAAACGACTTGCATGATGATTGAGAGTGTATCATGAGGATAATAGGCTGACTTATATGTAATTGCATGCTTAAAAGAAATTTGCCCAAGTTGTGCACAGAAAAGCACATATAAAGTTGTCATGGTTCAAGGTAAACGGCAATCAACACTGTGAGTAGAAGTTTTGCACCGATTACTATCAATTTTCGATTATATCCGATGACCAGCCAATAAAATTCTATACTTGATCCCAGATGTCAATAGATTCACAATTTATAAATTAGCAAAGAAGCCATTCACTTATTACGTAACAAGGTAGGAGATAAGTCATATAAGTAAGGTCATTATTGCGTTACATAATAAATAAACGTCCCCAAAGACAACATAAACAAAACACAAAATACTCAAAACACAAAATCAACAAAGCAATAAAACCATCCAGAACAGCCACAAACTAAAGAACTTACCTGAGAGATTTTTCTATTTGGACCGTCAAATGCAGGATTATCGTATCCAATTCCTGGTACATGTGGTGGATCTGTAAGTATTGATACTTTTCGTCTTGGTTCATTACTGACTGGCATGGTATTTGAAGGATCGCTGGATATATCTGCTGGGTTGTTGGTTGAAGTCATTTTGGAGTTTGCTGAAAATCTAGAAGGAATAAAATGAAGATTTGGAATTAGTAAGATTTTTAATGAAGAAGGTATTGAAGGAGGATGTTTGGAATTTATTTAGGTATGGTCCAACATTTAGAGGTTTTATATGAATACATCCTTATACAAATTTACATTTAATTAATTTTTAATAGTCTCATGACAAACTCTACACCCATCTTTCACTCAATTAATTTCCCACTAATTGTTAATCGAATCGGAAAGCTTGAAGATTATCAAAGGTGTTATAATCATGGATTCATCATCATTTTACAGCCTGTACAAACAAAACACGTGCAATTAAATTTTCTAAAGCAATTTTCAATTAACAATAAACCAACAAATGCCTTAACTCATCGTTGCCTTTCAAGAACCCAAGAAATGATTGGAACAACAATTAGGTAAACATCATCAATTGTTTACATTGTTTAGAATATCGTCCTTAACCTCAACAACAGATTTCCAATGATTGTTTATTGTTTTTCTTTAATATGTGACTCAAATTTTATTTTTGAGGTTATCTTCAAATGACGGCTCACACTTAAGATCTCATAATGTGATTAAAAGTGGTTTCTATGAGATCTTGGTGATTCGACCGCTATGGGTCGTTCACTTAAGACGTCCAAAATTAACAATCACTTTTAAAAAAAAGTAAAGTTGATTACCAGGTATCAGGTGCGTAGCCAGGAGGGTCTTGTCCCCCTCTTAAGCGTTTTAAGTGGTTCAAAACGTTTAAGGGGGGGGGAGGGGGGGGGCAAGACTTTCCTGGCTACGTGCCTGCCAGGAATGTCAATTGTATTATTCTTGATAACCCCTCTCCCCTGGACGTCACAAGTGAACGGCCTTGAAATTGCCTCTTTACACATCGGCAAATGCGTCCAGAAAGTCAAGTGCCTGACATACATTACGCATCTGTATCAAATGTATTCATTTCGAGTGCAATAAATCACAATTTGATAAGACTTGATAAAGAATAGCAAAAAATCTCTCGCATTGCTATCCAAAGCCAGCTGATCGAAATTGCTTAATCATCGCACTTCTCTATCATGGTTCACTCACTTAAGTAGAGCATGAAAGATATAATAAATGATAAAAGAAGAAGGAAATTTCTCTTCAATTTAAAGGAAGACACAGAATTTTTATGAACATTTGTTACGCTTGATGACGTTTATTAAAATTGATATCTTCATGTGCGACTTTTTGTGCGATGATGAAAATTGAGTGAACGATAAATGACATCATACACAGCTTCTTCCTTCCATTCAATATCTTCATGAGATTCAATTTCGAGAATCATTAGTGACGAGAAAAAAAAGAAAACTTTTCACATTCTCGTCATTCTGATACTTTTGCAACCTTTCATTAGACCAAATAATTATTAACTTTATTGTGATGCTATTGTTCGCACGTGACTCCTTTCATCCTTAATGTCAGTGATAGATCAGATTTTATACATGCTTGAGATTCATGTAACTATATGGAGCAAGGTGAGGTCAGTCATTTGATAGTGTGATAGTATTTGGTATGGGTAATGGATATGTGGATGTAAAATGATATTATCAAGGAAATTTATGAGGTGATTGCAGATGTTTTGTGAATTTGGGATATGATGAGTTGATTTTCAGATTGTTTGGGTGCAAAAGTTCAGCTTTAAGGATGAAGAATTGATTAAAAGGTCTCAAATCATGGAAAGCTAATTAAAAATCTAGTAAAGTTGGTCAAATTCTACAAAAAAATCATTTCATATTGGATTGGTTTAATTACTGTTGAATTGAATCGAATCTACAAGCAGAGTCGATACAAAAGCTATCAAATCTGTACAAGAACTTAACCATTTAAGCCAGTGTTGTTCAAACTTTTTTGAGCCACGGCACACCTGAATGGTAAACCATGACCAAAGTCGCACACAGCATACGGCTTGCATCATTTAAAAAACATTTCTATTGCACACACCAGTGTGCCGCGGCACACAGTTTAGACAACACTGATTTTAGCAATACAATTCCAACTATCAACGTCCAACCCAAACTCTACATCCCATCACTTGCCATCCAAACTTTCCCAATTTCTTTTCAATCACTACATCAGTAAGCGAACGAGTCATTCGGGAGCACTTTTCATAAACTTTATAACTAATCAAATCAATTCTCTAGACACATGGCATGGAAAGAACGATAGCGGCATTACATCGTCAAAGTACTACTCGAAGATGTTTGGAGTGAGACGAAAGCTATTATGAAAATACTCGAGCTCAATGTCTACTGTCGTTATTCAACAGCCCATGAATGAAAAAAAATACTTTCTCGATGACACACTTTAGAATATAATTAATCAATGTAAAGTCATTTTATCAGTTCAAACGAATAGAATTGCCCTAGATGATAATTTATTACCCAAGTGCTTTTTCGAGTGTCTCATATTCTGACATGCTGTGTATCACATTTTATGTAGAATGGAAAATTTATATTTCGGAATAGTTTAATTTGAGTAATTAAATTTTTCGATTGATGCTCGAATGAGGATTGATTGATAATTTTTTTTTGTGTTTTTGTTTTTTCGAACATTTTAGGGGTCGTTCACTTATGACGTCTGATGAGAAACTTGACTTTTTTGACTGCTACCTTTTATGTCACAAGGATTCTATGAAAAAAAAACTTAGCTATAAAAATTCAAGACCCCCTCCCACGCCCTCCCCTCTTAAGCGTTGGACGAGTGTTTTTTGAACTCAAAATTAAAATTTTAGAAATTAGAATTTTTTGAAATCCGTTAAAATATTAAAATTTTCAAAAATCCTCAGTTTTTAAAATTCATCGACCCGTGAAGCACAAGTCGGTTAATCGAACAGAAATCTTGAACCAAGCCGGCTTGATTCTGGCATGGTGTTGGACTTAAATAGTTGAATCCAGCACCACACCAGAGTTAACCCAGCTAAGTGCCAGCTTGTGCTACTCATCTAATATTAGTAATCTTAACTTATGTAGCTTGCGATGCGGCATCGACTTCTAATTGAATCACCCTCATTCACTTTACTATTCATTTCCAATAAACAATTAATTATCACGCAAATGGAGATGTTAAAATATCAATTTATTGTACGGCATCAAATTATTCAAATTAATTAAATGTAAAATTATTTATAGCTGAAACAGTCAGAACAATATTATTGTACAGTTATTGAATTTCAATTTCCAGATCGTGCTGCAGGCTCTTTCAAGTTGAATGATAATGTTATTCTGGATGAGAAATAAATTAAATAAAATTGAAAAGTCATCAAGTTTTTGTTGCTGTTGAATGACTTTGGCGCTTTTGTAATTGTAAAATTTAATTGAATTCAAATTGGAATTGGAAACTGATGAAGTATTTTTGATAGTATGAAGTTTTTGGCTGTTTATAGGTTTTTGTCGATTTTCGGTTAAAAAAGTGGGACTGTCCGGCTCAAAAGTGCTCCGTGGGACGTCCGACTAATGGAACTCTTTGAGTATTGAATTGTTGATCAAGGCTATAGCAATGTCAATAGAAAGCATCAACATTTAAGAGCCTCAAATAATTAGGTTCCGTGGTCCAGACGCTCACTAGTCAAATTAACACTCAATTAATAATTTATCAAAATATATTTTTAAAAAAAAATGAATAAGCATAATTTGAAATTCAATATGTTAATTAATTATCTACATAAATAATTGTAAAGTAAATAAAGTGTCACAGCAATAAATCAATTAGATTATTGAGACGCATTTTAATCCAATAATAATTAATTCCTAACAACTTTTCCATATTAAATGTCAATAATTCAATCTTAAAATCCTGTTAATTGAATTAATTACGAACAATATAACCAGACAGTTTATGGACAAGGTGACAAATTGAATGACTTGTCAGCAGCTGAATTATAAAATTGCATAAAAAAATTATCTGCATTAACTGATATAATGATGAGCTTGACTAGTTAAATAATAAATGTATAATTTGATTTATGCAAAAAGCATCATAACAAATCACGAATATGCAAGAGCATGAACATTGTAAGGCTGATTAATTTATTATGTCTACAATCGTCAATTAGCAAAAATTTTGCTATAAACATGCAGACTCGTATACAAACGATGAAGATGTAAAATTGGATATGATCAGGCAGGTATGCAGAGTGGGTCGGCTTACTCCTAAACGCTCGATTTAATTTTTAAATTATTTTAGGAATTTTTTATAAACTTAAGTAAAACTCTTGCATTGTAATTAGGCTAGACTGGCACTTTTAAGCGGCCAACTACACACTTTTAAGCAACGCGCTTTTTTGAACAAAGTCTCGCCTAAAATAATTTCTCGCTTTTTTGAACCTACTTTTCTTGAAAAATCCTTGAAAAATTGGACTGTCCCACTTTTTCAGAGCTGAAATCATGACATGCAATGCAATTTGACCAAAAATCAGCAAAAACCAATGAATAGCCTAGTTTCAATGCATGTCCCCCTCCCTGCCAAATTTCTTCCAACACCCCTGAACATAATCATAGCAAAATTTATGTGAATTGCCTGGCAACATCAGCACATCGTGCATTTTTTCCTCTTCGAATGTTTATTTTGCAATTTAAGAATTTAACAACTGAATTTAACTTGCAACATGCAATAAAGCACGTTTCTCTTACAATACACAGAAAAAACGTTTCTGGTGCGCAAATTGCATTCTCTAGAACGTGATTTCTGTAATAGAATTTTATGCTACTTTTCTGTTTCTTTTACTCTATGCTTCCTGTTTTTTTGGGGGGGGGGGGGGGTGTAGTGGTAATAAAGATGTTTGCTTGAAAAGCGCTAATGCGGGTCTTTTTTTGAGGCGCTGCAGCTTTAACTCTGATTCAGTGCAAGACCACCTCACATCCTAGCTACTGCCTGGATAAATGCTATTAAAAGAAGCTTTTGCTTTCATAATTTTTCTTTAATTAAAATGTCGAATCCATCTTATTAATTTTCAATCATGTTCATGATCATAATTAAAAAATTCTCAAA